ATAGCGCCAACCGAAAAATATATATATACGATTATTACTTTGTAAAAGAAGAAATAGCAACAGACTAACAATTGGAAGAAACTGACAATCTATATGATATGGTGTTTAACTGATTCTTGAAGCACTATTAAATCTAATAATACGGGCAATAGTACTTTTATAGATAATTGTTTAGTACATCTTTCATAAGACGTGGTTATAATTTAGCATTTTGGGGAAGAGGCATCGAAAGCCACTCTCCTTCCCTCCCTCCACCCCATACCGTAGATGCGTCTGTGCCCAGCGAGAATAGTTCTCAAAGTATAACAAACTGTTGAAATATCTACCTCAAGTTGAATTCATACAAAAAGTAGTTATAAAACAAGGAACACACTGAATTTCGAATAAAATACATAATCATATTAAACACAAACACTTCCAAATAATTACTTCAAACGATTCGAATCATTGAAACATAAATTCATTCTCTATTCAAAACAAGACATTTTCCTGTTTTTTTTTAGTGTATTTGTTTTTATACAGTTGTAAGTAACATTAATAAAATAATAAAATTAAAATAATCTTTTTTTTCTCAAACCTATGAATGAATTACACTAAGAAAAAATAAATTTAATATTAAAGTATCTATTAAAGGTATCTGTAACAAATTATCGTTTTTCTTTAATTAATATTTCCCCTTATTCCAAAAATCAGAGGTTGGAAAGTAATTTCTTTTTCATTATTTTTTCACTGAAGATGCATGTCAAAATTTTTCTTTATTATTACATTCCAAAAAATAAAGCTCCTAAAATTAATATAAAGGTATTGAAAAATTAATCGTCCTTCTTTTATATCTGACTTAGATATGGAAGATAGCAGAGGATTAAAAAATTAATTTGATTAGATCATACGACAATGATTGAGCTGGAAATATTTACAAATAGAATAAAATTAAATATTTTTTAAATCTTCTTGCTGTACTAACGTTCAAACGGGTGAAATATAAGTCGGCGGAATATTTGGCGTATTATGTATATTACTCATGGTACATTTTTTTTTACAATTTTACCTTTCAAAAATGTAAAGGTGGTTCTATGACAGCGAAGACATGTTTGTAGAGTTCTAATTTTCACGAACTTCGCAAGCATTTTCAAGCCGAACCAATGTTGGCATACCATCCAACCCTTAGAGGCGGTAGACATTCGGCTAGAAAATGCTGGCGAAGTTCGTGAAAATTAGGACTCTACAAACATGTTTTCGCTATCATAGAACCACCTTTACATTTTTGAAATGTAAAATTGTAAAAAAAAAAAAAAATGTGCCATGGGTAATATACATATTACGCTAAATATTCCGCCGAATATTAGTATAGCAAGAAGATTTAAAAAATATTTAATTTTATTGATTGTCAAATAAAAACTTTTTACTCCGAATTCCTTATGGAAATTTTTCTTCTTGTTTTACAGATAAGATTCAGATCAATTAGTCAATATTTAGGTTTGTCAGAGTTTATTTTTAAACTGACAAGTGCCGCCAAAATTTCCCAGAAACTCTCAAGAATTTGTATCAAGACACTTCAAGTGCTTATTTCTGTGGCCCCACAGCACGTCATAAAAAGGAGAAAGATAACAATCGATAAATTTTTAATTTATAACAGGCCAAGTCTGTCCTGATAAGAGAACCATTACTCATTATGGCTTACTACTTTTTTATACAAATGGAAGTACTAAGAAATTGAATATAATAATTAGTTTAGTTACTAATAGGATAATAGGATCCGTTTTCATAGAAAGTAATGTAATGCTGTTTTATCTTATATGGAGTTATTTAAGAATTTGTATCGTAAAATATCGGTGTAAGTTAATAGCCTCATTTTTTTTTAAATATTAAATTGACTTCGATTTAAAATGTGATCGTTTTTTAAAGTACTAGTCAAAATAAATGTATACTTTTGATGATACCAAGTGGACTTACACTACTTTTTAAATCAATAATACTTGGAAATAACACATTTATGAAATATTAAATACGGGTCTCATTTTAATAAAAGGTTAATTAATAAAATTAACAATTAGTAATTTTAAAGGTAACAAGACTTATTTATTCGAGTCAAGTGAACAAACATAGAAAACTTTTAAGTTTTATACGGAATAATAAACGGGTGAATTACATGTCAAATATCAGTGTTGCCACATATATACATATAAAGTTTTTTTAGTTTTTTATTTATTTAGACACATAATATTCTGTCTCGAGGACAATAATTATAGTGATAAATGAATACATTCACACCATATATACAACAAATATAAAATTAACAAAAGTAAAATAATAAGTGAATAATAATAAATAAAATCTATGTACAATAAAAAAATAAAATAACCTAAATATAAGTAAATTAAAAACATAAAAACACAGTCATACCTATATACCATATATACAATCAGGCGGGGAACCCAAATCCCTACGCTACTCTCTCAACCGCGTCACTGGTGCTAAAGCCAGTGCAGTTTGAGCGAGAGCGCTTTAGCCACATACACTCATGTCTTGAGTGGAGAATCTGGCCATTGCCAGAAGTCCAAGATATATATTATAAAAGATCTCTGGACCACTGCCGCTTCAACCTTCGAGGAGGGTTGTAGGGATGTGTGGAACTAGATAGGGATTGGGCTAAGGGATTTGGATGATTGACAAGGTTCTGATGGAATTTGGAATTTTTTTCAGGGATAAGGTCAAGGACAAATGGGATATTAAGGTCATGATGTAGGGTTTTGTTGGTTACATAGAACGGAGCATCGACTATTGTTCGGAGGACTTTGGACTGGAAGGATTGGATGCGTTTGATGTTAGAAAATTTTGCTGTCCCCCAAAGTTCAAGTCCGTAGGTCCAAATAGGTTTCAGGATTGTGTTGTAGATCAGTATTTTGATGTCAATTGAAAGTTGAGATTTTCTGGTCAGTAGACTGTATAATTGGCCGTATCGTCGGTTAAGTAAATACATATAAAGTAAAGATATTATGTAGAATAATTTTTAACTAAACATTATATCTTTGCTGAAATTGGACTTACATTAATTTAAAAGCAAATACATTTGTAATTTCATTAGCTGCGTAAATTTATATTGATAAAATTATGAAAATTTTAAACAAATTTTTAGGGGGAAACATCTTAAATATAAAGGTGCGTTTAGACAATTCACAAACTATGGAAAACACGATTATCTAACATAACTAACAGCGACATTATTGCTAAACCTAACTATTTATTTTATTTATCTTGAAACAGACAACAGATAGAAAATATCGAAAACTATAAACTAAGACATTAGTATATTGAAATAAACATTTACATATCTGTATGCCCCATAGTTTTTGAAATGTCTAAATGCACCTTTATATATAAAAAGCTCATAGAAAATTACATATATTGTTGCCACTATATATATTTTTTATGAAAAATGGACTTACACCACTTTCAAAGAAAAAGGCTCACATATGGAACAGGTTTCGTGGAAACAATCCCGTATAAACCTTTCAAAGAATAGATTATAATGATAAAATGAAATATCTAATATTTGTATGATGTTCAGAAACATTTGGTTCATTCATTAGCTACGATTCTGAAAGAATAACTTGATAAAATTATTATAAAACCGAGATATTTGTAAGTCAGATTGATGTACTTAGTATATAATGAAATCTGTCAATAAAATGTTTGCTTAAATATTAGAGATTCGAACTTAGGTTAAACCATTTTTTGGCGGCTCTGAAGCTCACAAAGGAATTATGATTTTTAACTATGATAACGACAGTGAGTTTACTTTTTGATTATATTGATAACATTTGCCGGGAACTCCTCTGATGTATGAGTTTATAGATTTTCAAGGTGAAAAAAATACTCTGATTATAGAACCATATTAATTAATAACTAAAAATAATCAAACCAAAGCTCGAAATGCGCTACGGTAAAATAGAAACCTAGATTAAAGTTCAATAATTCAAAACCAAAATAAAAACTTTAAATACTTTTTAATCTAATCTTTAATACTTTAAATTATATATATATATATAAACGTGAGTATGTAAAGTTTAAAATAAAATAATTACTAAACTAACCTTCGGTGACAAAACCTCTTCTTTGTAGGTTTGTTTATCTCATGAAATTGAGTTAAGGTAACTAAACACAGTAGAGAATCCAAGATTTCATTTTGGGAGCTTGTATTTTTTTTTTTTTTTAATTACGGTAATTAATTTGGAAGAAAAAGAAAGAAACTTTTTTAAAGTCTTTCGAAATATACAAATGTTGACTTTTACAGGAGGGGGGGAGGGGCGCGGAAAAAGTAGAAAGAATATGCTACAAAATTAAGCTAGGCCCCCTTGCAAAAATCCTAGTTCCCGCTCTTTACCTAAACACTTTATCATAAAATCCAAATTTATCAGTATTATAAATAATTTCAAATGTCATTTTAATTAGTTTTATTTCGAAATAATTTCAGAATTGAGAGATACTCACTAGTATTTCATTAAAAAAAATTATATGCATAATTTTCAATCTTACTTTGTTTAGGTATAATCTTTTGTGTATAAAAAATATCCACAGTTAGTGTGCATTAATAATAAACTATACCAAATATATATTGTAAAAACTATTTCTCTGTTTTAATGTATATATAATGTTAGGTATGTCGAAAATAAAAATATTTTTCATCTCATAGATTATACTTTAAGCAGGATTATCTCAAGAAAGATAAAAAATAGCAGTCATGTCAATGAAATGTTTAAAAAAAAAAACCTTAGGTATTCCAATTATAAAGTGGATCAGGTCAACGACATTGGGTTGTTGGACCGTCGTAAATTATTCATTAATTAATAGTTAATTTATTGGTTTCCAAATCGGTTAAAAGGTGAATAACAGAATTGGCAGTGGCTGTTATCAATCAATTTGCCCGGGATACACTCACCTGTGATAGCCGTTATCTCTTGAGTACGCCTTATCAGACAATTATGAGAATCTGCCTAGATCTCAGTTCGCCCTCGCCTTTGGTTTCGGAACGTCTCATCGATGGCGTCCAAACTGAGGTTTTTTCCAGTAACGGTATTTTTTGCACTTCCGGGCACCTTCCTCATTACGTAAGTTCATTATCAAGTATTATTATATAATATTAATAAACATAGTCATATCTAATAATCCTATCAGACCATAAGACTACCTGCTCTATGTTTAGCATTTTCGGGTTTTCGTTGTATAATTTGTTGCAGTAACGGATTCAAGATTTAATTTTTTTTTTAAATACATATAAATATAACAATAATTACGACAGTAATTTATAAAAAATGAAGTTTAAAAGAAGAAATGGTAATTATAGCAACAATAATTATTTTAGTGATCTTTTTTTTTCTCAACACGTTTTTATATTTATTAGTTATATATGCTTTATAATTCAAAGAGTACATATTTTTAATGTTAAGTGTAAATCTCAGATCATTCACAAAAACAAATGTTGACTAATTAAAAAAATATATTTTTCTATTTTGGGAGGCTTATGGCTAAGAGCTCGCCGATGGACCCGCCAGTTGTTGCACTTCCATTCAGTTCAAATAAATTCTCTCTGTTTCGTAGACAATTTTCAAATTTAGAGTTAGTTTTCATGGTAACAGTTATTTTAAAACTGATTTATTTTATTGTTTTCTACATCTAGTTCATTTTAAAAATAGTTTATTATTAATAAAAATAAATAATATTCTAACCTCCTCTTCCATATGTATACATACAAATAATTCAATTTAATAAATAATCACTCCTTTTATCAATGTTTGAAGTGCAATTTTTACTCATTTTCTCTCTCTCCCAACTGATTTACAAACTCCTATCTAAGAAAACAGAGACAAATATTATGCTCCATAACGTAAAATAAATATAATTTAAAAAACAAAACATGAAAGGCATGAGCAAAATATCTAGCAGCTCCTAATCCTTGTTAAACTTCTAACTAAGGAATGAATTAATTAACTAAGGAATGTTCGGCTTCTTTTGAGCTTTTCAAAAGTGTTTTTCAAGGAACCATTTGTAATTAGCTAAATGTTGTAGATCAGTACATAAAGTTATGATTAGGTCGTTATATAATGCAGTTTTGAATCGTTTTGATTTAAAAATTAATGGTATGAGAAATTTAACCCCTCATCGTCATTTTATTAGTTCAGATAAAAAATTATTGTGTTTCACTTTGAAGTGCCATGTCAAGTCGGATAACAATATTCATCTAACTTCAAATAAAAATTATTAAAATAATCAAAATAAAACGTTCAATACAATTAAATACTAAATAATCTAATATATTTTGAAATAAAAAGAAATCTACAATGTAGATTAGATTTTAATGATGCAACATATAACAATGATTTATTGAACGAAAATAATAAAAAAAAATTATTTTAAGGACAAGAATTATTGTTAGATTTTAAAACGTTAAAAAAAAATGTTTTATTTTCAGCTTAAGAAATAAATTCGCTTGAAATTCGTTTCCCTCTAAATACTGTCACACGGGGCAAGAACCCTTTTCTAGGTCCGGCCCTAAAAGAAATAAATACAAAGGAAGCATTGTGAATTGTTAACCTATATCTACTTTAAGCCATTTAACATTGTGTCAAGATCGTCTAAATCAATTCCGAAAATTAGAATAATTAAAAGTTCAAACACTGTCGTTCCTCAAATCTCGAAACTATAAAAACAAAAAATATTGTTTGTCGTTATCTGATAGTCTTTTCTTTTTGAAATAATTAAAAAGCTCTAATTTAACATGATGGAACACATAACGGGCATTAATTTTCAATCTGAAAAAGAACGTCAGTTTGGTACTTCTACATTCTTTAGAATATAAATTTATATATAGAGAGCAATATTTTAGACGAAATGCAGACATCTTTTTACTAATTGTGAAATGAGTAATTCTGTGCCAAGGTCTGAATAATGAGCGATGAAAAATTTCCTGATGAAATTGATATCAATAACAAAGCAAAACCGGAATGTGTATTACTCAGCAAATATCGAATGAAATTTAATTTTTAAGTTGAGTAAAAAGAATCGTTCCATCTTTTTGAGTGTTTGGAGCTTAATTCAGTCACTAAAATGAGTTTATGTTATGAGATGATGATATCCATTCCAAAATAAATACGGTTTAAGACTTTCAAACGGGGAGGGGAAGATGAGAGAAGAGAACACAATTGAGTCCTCTCCCCTCCACTCCCGACAAAAATACAAAAATCCAATCCTGATAAACTGTACGTATTGTCACACTACCTGAGACATAAGTAAATATTTTTATTGCTTTTCTTTTGTGCAACCGTGTGATATCATCAAAATGATAAGTGATACTGTTATTATTACAAATGTTAATGCACTCAGCTAAAAATAATCTGTTAGAGTTCTGACTTCAAACTCGGATATCAAACAGTCCCTGAATCAGATGCCGCAAATAAGAATAAGTAAATTTACAATGATATTTTAAATAATGTAATGTTTAAAGGTTTGTTTACAACAAATGTTAGCAACATAATTTAATATATACCAATAGCCAGAGAGAAACATTGGAAACAGGAAAAATGTATTGCCAATAAAGATTGTTGATGAATGTGTATAAATTTAAATATTTGTTGGTAAGATTGTTGTCTTCACTAAATAAGTGCGTCATAAGTTTAACATTAGCTATGTATATCGTATTATTTGTTTCAGTGTTATAATTGTTCAGATACATTTGCAAAGTTTAAAACAAACGATTGAAAAGCACTTCATGTTAACAAGAACCTTATAACACCAATCTTTGATTCGGCGCTATGTAAACATATTTTTGAGGAGTTACTGGAAGCGATCGGCACCTCCATGATTTGTCTTCCAATAGCAGAGTCGAAATAAAAAAAGAGTCAGAACAATGCTCTAACCTGTTAGAATGATGGTGTGAGAAGAATACTTTGAAAATGGCTGGAGCGAAATCAAAGGCAACCTTCTTTAGAGGAAAGACAAAACGGGCACATCATACAACTCTCAGCATCGATGATACAAGAATCCAGCTAAGTGAGGTAGACACCAACCTTGGTATAAAGTTCGGAGAAAACTTAACATGACATATCATTTGAACCACAAAGGAAATTGGGCGGCGTTGGCCTTAAACAGGCTGAATCGCGTGTGGAACACCTACTTAGACCTCAGATACCCTGCTACGTTAACTATTTATAAAGGTGTGGTGTTGGGTATTCTAATGTAATTGTTTATTAATTTACGACTAATCACAAAAAGGTCTACTGCGGGTCTCCTGAACGTGCCAGATCGCGTCTTAAGATGTTTTAGAAGGAGCAGTACCTCTCGATCTGCGGGATAATGCTATGAAGCATAGGTTAACAGAGAAAACTAAGCTATTCTGCCCGTGAATCTTCAGAAAATCCCATTAAACGGGATTGTCAATGAGGCAGTATATGCATGCATTGTAAACAAAGGCGTAACAAATGAGTGAAACCGGAAGTTGGTGACAACTCCGAAAAGTGCTAGCTAGCTTAAGAAAGTAATTCCCCATGGTCCTTTCACGTTTAGAATTGAAATAGGTCCTACCAGACTACTAATTTGCCTGCTGAACACAGATAGCCAGGAGGAGGCCTCCAATCTCATGTTACTGTTGAACATGGTCTTCATGATTCAGCAGCTGACCACTCACAGTTCCATAGTCGATTTCTTTGGAGGCATTCTGAAAGTGTCCTTTCCACAAGGTCAGTTGAGTTCAAGGACAGTGATAAATTAGTCTAGATCCATGGATTATGGTTGTGCAGAGTCAAGAGGTTAAATAATCTTATTTATTTTGCTAAAACAGACCTTCTGGAAGACTAATGACATCTTGAAAACCACATCATGATTACTAATTAAACTATACATAATAGGGTCACCAATCCTAAGCCCAGTCCATTGAGTTGCATCTAGAGTAGACTGTTGAGCACCACATAGCCAAGAAATGGGGAAAATATGTTTATATATATATATATAGAGAGAGAGAGATTTTCTTGTTCTTATAATATACTTTATTAAATATCTTGTTTAAAAATTTTTACACTATATTTATCATTTACTGATTAAGTACTGCAAAATATGTCTTATCTATTATATTTTGGGGATAATAAAGCCATTATCATGAGGTAAATCAGTTTGGTAAAATTAAAAATAGATAAGGTTTATCTTGAAACTTTACATTACAAACCTAGAATTTTGATAATGTTTTCTTAGGTCTTTTGAATTAGTCTTCTAATTCAAAATGAAGTAAAACTATAAATAAGACTCAACTAAATAGTAATATTTTTATAGGTATCTCATTTCAGCATTAATGCATCATGTTGAATACATCTTGCCCACAATTAGTGATACAGGTGCAAGTGTGCCAGAAAGTTGTGTTTTCGGCATGTTATTGAATTTGACTGTAGCCCTTAGTAAGTATAAAAATAAAATTTCAGTTAATAAGAATCATGTAAATACTAATAACAATTTTAAAAGGTTAAAAACATTTAATTATTCAATGAAATATGTAATCTTTCAATATTCCTTGTTATTTCCTACACCTTTACTAATTTCTTAAGACTTAAATTTATTTTAAAAAGAAACAGCTCATATTGCTATATTTGTTAAATCACTTGGTTTACTAGTATATGGTTAATATTATATTGTTTAATAATATAAATATTTAATATTATTTGCTGGAAACGAAAAACGGTTAGTACTTTTTCTTGGCCGAGACTATTCCTTATCCATAAATCATAGTTCATCAAAATGTTTAGCCATTACTGGAGAAAAAATGCATTGTTATATATCTTTTTATTTAGAATAAAAAAAAACAAAAAACAATGCTTTCATTAAATAAACATACCACGAGTTTTCATGTTATCTATTTCTTATTTAGCATCTTCAGCTTACTAAAATTGTAAATTTCAATAACAAGAAAAGAAGTTTGACACTTTAATAATTGAGTGAACAGCAAATTGTGTTAAATTATCAAACATAATATGCTCATTTAAACTTTTTGTAATTTTCCTGAAAAAAGTGTTTATTTGTTTACCAGTAGGTTTCTTTTGTCTTACACAATAGGAACTTTATTTTTTTTAAGATCTTATAAAATATACCTTACTTGACACTTACCCGTTCTTAATGATTTTAAAATATGATTAAATTAAATGAAGAGAATAAAAAGACAAGTAAAATTTTATTAGCAAACAAAATATATTTAGCTTCGATTCAACACAACCAGGCATCATATTCCAAGCTCAGTTGCTATATTACATTGGATATTTTCCACTTGATCGATACAGGCCCGGATTTTTGGTGTTACATATTCCACAGTTCTGCCACTAACTAATTTGAATCCTTTTGAATTAAACCTGAACATAAATCACAAAAAAAAAATTAATAAAATAAGATAGTTCTTTTAAATTTTTTTTATGCCTGGAAATACTGAAAATCATTGGTAACATCATGACTCAAAGTATTTAATTATAATTTTTTTTTAATGTTATTGATTGAGTTTAAAAAATAGAAATTGGTGATTACTAATTTCATTAAAATTTGTGGTTTGTAAATGGGAATAACATTCATAAAGTCAGGATGCAATAAATAAAGTTGAAGCTTGAAAGATAATTATTATTCCAAATTATATAAAACATTGATAATGATTTTTGTTTTTGTTTTTTGCAGTGTTATTTATTGTTTATGTAAGGCACAAGCAAATATCTGAATTTTTTAAAGCCAAAAGTATAAATAAATCTAAGGAACATGTAGCAATGATCAATATGATAGCAACCAGTGCCGGAGTCCTGTCGTGTATTGGTTTGGATGTAGCTGCTAACTTTCAAATCAGTCATCTGCCACCAGTGCATGATTGTGGCATTTTATTGTGTTTTTGGTGTTCTGCTATATATATTTTCATCCAGGTATGTATATATTTTTTCTTTCATATTTAATCTTTTAAAAGGTTCTTACCAAGTATCAGTAATATTATTTTTTCAGTTCCTTTAACAAAATGCAGCAAAATATTTGTTGGCTAATAAAAAAAAAATCCATAGCTTAACATTCTGAAAGGTACATGGACTACCGATTTGTTTGTTACCACACCACTATCATGCTCTAAGTCAGGTCTCCAAACTATGCCCCACGAACTACAGATTTAACATCTACCAATCATTCCAAACTACAAAAGCACATTCCATCCAGCCCACAAAAGTTTCTTTGGTTACTTAATAAAATATAAAAAAAGATTTAAAAGTGTAATATTTAGCAAATTATTCGTACACGAGGATACAACAACATTTATTTTATAGGTTTTTTCTCATACAAAGCTCATTTCACAGTGTCAAGTGTCATTTATAGAACTTTTTTTTTTTCATCACAAACCATGGCCCGTTGTGCTTGGTTCAAAGTGTCAATGCGGCCAGTGGAACTTAGTCGAGTCCTCAATGAGGCCCGCGAGCCAAAATGTTTGGAGACCCCTGCTCTAAGTAATTAATATATTTAGATCCAATTCCACTTCCTTCCGACTACTTCAACACTTACTAGACAAACGCTCTAACCTTCCAATCAATTATAAAAGACTGATTTACATGACTATAATAAGGCCTATTTGGACTTACGGGGTTGACCTATGGGGCTCCACCAAGACTTCAAATTCCTCTCGCATACAGTCCTTGCAATCCAAAATCCTTCATAAAATCCTCAATGCTCCTTACTTTGTTACAAATAAAATTATCCTTAATGACCTTAATGTTCCTTCTGTATCAGATTTGGCCCAATCCAGATATCTGTCCTTCCATAATAAACTTCATAACCATCCCAACGCTCTTGTCTCTAACCTTGCTTCCTATTCGATTCCTGATAACCCTCCGAGGCGTCTGAAAAGAAGATGGCCACGTGATCTTCTAATATAGACATATTATTAGAGTGCTACCAATGGGTAGTTTCTCAACATGTGTTCCATGTCTTTATACCAATGTGCAAATTTACTAGATGTATTTTTTGTATACAGTTGTAAATATCATTTAAAATAAATAAAAAAAAAATAAAAAAAATTCCACTTCCATAAAAATCTTTTCAATAATCTATCTCTACAAAGTAGAAAGGATTTATGTTCCATACTTGTTAAGAAATAGCTGTTTTTTTAAAAATGATTAGGCCAAGAATTGACTGGGAAGGATCAGCCACTGAGTCACTATACCATATATAAAATCTTGTCTTAACCACTTAAATATATCAGCTTTCTAATATTGCTTAGGTTTTCTTTCCTATTTAAATTTATATTGTAGGAACTATAAATATAACACATCAAAAGTAATATTCTAATTTTTCAGACAGTCATTTCTTTCTGGATGTCTCCAGAAATGACATCATTGTGGGTTGTGGCTGTCAGAGGGATATTAGGAATGATGGCAACTGCTTTAATAGTTATTGCAATCACAGTAGAATTGGTAGCAGAAGAAAAATTAATAGGTAACAGTATAATAGTAATTATTAATAAGGTATAGTTAGTAATTATTAATAAGGCATAGTCAGTAATTATTAATAAGGTATAGTATAATAGTAATTATTTTCTACTTTTTTTTTTAAACAAACTCCCTGATTTGTTTTAAATAATGTCCCTGTCATTAAATTTTTATTTGGACTGAAGATGTTAAATCTGATCAGTGCTTTTTGGATAGTCACCCATCCAAGCACTAATCATGAGCTAGCATGGTTGACTACAAATATCTAATGTATTGCTGCAAGTCCATGTCATTTATGGATATTATGTTAATGTACTACAATTATGGTTAGACGAACAGGATTATCCTACAAGTTATCAACTTATTCAAGCCATAAGAGGGTTGGTCAAAATTAATTCAACTACTTCATAAAAATAAATACCCTCAGAGTGGGTTTCCCAGATTTGGAAATGTTGACATGTGTCATTTATAAATCCTTAAAGTTATCTGTTTTGTGTACCTAAATGTCATTTTTATTCCAGATGTTTACGGGAACTTTAATAGGTCTGTTATTGCTCATTGGAATAGTACACAACCTGGCTGGCCAGAACACATTACTTCAGGATTAAGCCAGTGGATAACTGTAGTCACAATTGGCTCTTTTATTCTTACTTACTATATTGATTTCAAAAGGGTTACAATCTATCCACCCGAGCTTGTGGTAAGTATGAATTTAATAAATTTAACCTGTTTTCTGTATTATTATAAAACTTTAGAAAGGCTTAGTATAATACTTATTCAATGGCCCTGTTATCTTTTTTCTGTGATGAGTGTAAAAATAATTTTTTTTTATTGATAATTTTTTAAATGTAAATATTTGAAAAGTTCTACAATAACTAAGAAACTATCTTTACATTCAAATATGTATAAGTAATACTGTTTATATAAGATGTCAGCTCTTAAACAAGACATATAATGTCAAGCTTATCTTGAGAATCAAATGAACAATTTAAAATAAATGAGTAATCAAAGATTTTTTTTAAATTAGATGGAAGTAATGTAAACTATCTTCCAAATAATTGTTAATTCTAATTATACTTATTCCAAAAATGTAATTTGTTTTTTTTTTTTTTAGATGCATGCTGATCCGGTACCAAAGCCAGTAGAGGCTACAAATTTTAGGTCCTTACAATATATCTATTCATAAGCGAAACTAGTAAAATAGGAGTTAAATGTCTACAGTGAAGGCTAATTATGCCTGAATAAGTCGTATCACGTCCGGCTGTGAGTACTAGAAGGAATGAAGATCTGAAATATTGCAATACTCGTTTCCTGAGTAGAGTATGTCATAATGTGTTACTGCTACAATCATTTCTGTAAGATATATCTAACATGAGAAGATTTTGAATAAATGGATATAACAAACTTTTCAAAATTTAATGCCTTGAAATCACTATTACAAACCTGTTTGAACTGATTATTAGTTATATTTATCAATTCTTCCAAGTATAATTTATAACCAGTGTTCATGCATAGTGATATAAACACTATATTCTTCCTTATTTTTTAATATTTATATTTACTATTTACATAGGTTAGGGCAGAGATCTGGTATTTTGGAATAATCACGTAATCTGCTGTTTTTGCAGTAAAAAATATATATTGCTAGAATTAAATTTATTGAAACAGCATTTATTAATTAAATCAGGCATACAATGTCCATAATTCTTCATCTATCATTGAGCCTTTTTCAAGTTGGTTTGTTGGGTGGGACAAAGAGGTGTAGCACTAAGGAGAGAAATGTCCAATAATTAAGCTGTTGATGCTCGAAATACTGGTTTTGAATTTAAGGAGACAATCCTACACAAAATCAACAGAAACTTCTTAGAGAGAGTGGATACCAATTTCCTCTAACGGCTTCGACAATGTTATATAAAATATTAAGTACTATATTCCAACAACTGTAATTCCAGTTATAATTTTTTCTTCAGACCAAAAATCACAGATTTCATAATTATTTAAAAAACACTACTTCTCTGCCTCATCCTATATTTCAATTGTCTGTAAATAACAGTAACATTAGATCCAGAACTAAGGGGTAGAGAGCACTTCCTCTAGGAAACAGACTTTTTTATAATAATTGTAATAATATAATAATATTTATTATGAAATATCTTACCAAAACTCCTGTTCTAAAACTGTTGACTTTTATTTGGGAGTGGAGAGAATGAAAGGAGTGAGAAAAAACCTCTGAGAAAAATTGTTAGTTCCAGTCACTAGCGGAGCCAGGATTTAATTTTGAAAAAGGCTTCAGCCCAAAAGGTTTTTTTTTTTTCGTTTTTATTTATATACAACGATTACTACTGTGGAAGAAGAAAAAAGAAGCTCACTAACTATAAAAAATTATGTTTAAGTCCTATTAAATTTAATTACACGAACAGTAATACTTTTAGAGATAATTTTATAATATTTCTTTCATAAGACATGGTTATATATTACCATACATGGTTATATTTTGTATTATGCTCATATAGCCTTGGAGCCAGGGCCCAAAAATCGACCTGATCGCAGGCGAAGGTTTGATTGTAAATTACCTAAGTGTATGTTATTTTAAGTAAAAAGAACCTTGTCTGCCGTTTCAGAGCCGCTGTTTTAAAAAATAGCGGCTGATTTAAAGAATATTAGGCCGATAATTTGAGGATCAAAACAGGAAATCCATTATGAAAAATGTGAGAAAAGTTTTTATTTCTTTAACTTGTATATATGGGTTTAACCATGTAAAAAACAAAATTGCTAACTCGGCCCACCCAGGAAAAACTTTTTACAGCTAAAAAAGTCAGATTTCATCAATATTGTTTTTTCATCTATAAATCCTAAACAATGCATTAAAGTGAAAAATGCATCCTTTAATAAATTAAAGAACATTTAATTTTGAGTCAAACGAGTACATAAGTTTTATAATTTGGTTACGCAGTAAAGTTTTGCATCTACTGAGTACTGATATTTGTATTGAAGGCCAATTATACATCTCGAATCAGGATTCGGTATTTCTTTATGAAATTCGGTATCATTCGGTATCTTTCGCCACATCGTTTACCATAATCCTTTGCTGTTGAGGGGTTTCAAAAGAGACTTATACTGCATGTAACAGACTCTCAACAAAAATACCTCAGTAGAATAGACACCTATACCATTGAAATATTGAAAATCACGTTTACCTTCAGTACCAATTAATAACCATCAGGAGATTACCTGACAGTTTACGCAAAACTTGATGCTCTACAACTTTGATTCAGTGGGTTTTTGATCTAAGGGAACTCATTATCCAGTTACAGGGCCATTTATAGTAATTTGACTCGAATATTTTGACGTTTTTGACAAATGGTAAAAATCAGCGTTGGTGACCGTGGCTTTATACCTTAGCGCATAACCAAATTATAAAGTTTATGTATTAAATTGAGACAAAATTTAACGATCTTTAATTTATTAAAGAATACATTATTCTCTTTGATGCATCGTTTAGGAGCTATTGGTGAAAAAACAAAAATATATCGAAAAAATTCACTTTTTTGGCAGTAAAAAGTTTTCTCTGGGTGGCCCAAGTTAGCAAATTTGTTTTTTACATGTCTAAACCCATATATACAAGTTAAAAAAATAAAAACTTTTCTCACATTTTTCGCAACGGATTTCCCATTTCGATCCTCAAATTATTGGCCTAATATTTTTCAAATTAGCCGCCATTTTTGAAAGCAGCGGCTCTAGAATGGCAGACAAGGTTCTTTTTACTCAGAATAACATATACATTCGTAATTTACAATCAAACCTTCGCCTGCGATCAGGTCGATTTTTTGGCCCTGGCTCCATAACTATTAGTAAAAATTGGAATCAAATTATTGAAAATGTTTTTCATTAAAAAATTAAACATAATAATAGTATGGGAAGAAGGCCCAGAGTGCAGTTATAAAGTAAATTACACAGAAATAAGAAGTTATTTTATTGTATGCTGACGTTTTACCCTATGTTTTCATCTTTCGTCAAGGTGAAATGTATCTGAGTCCTAAGGAAAAGCAATATTCTCCTGCCATTCAATCTACAGTAATTAATATCTCCAATATTAATATAATAATATATTTTTTAAAAAGCTATGTATGGATTCTATAACATTCCAACTATTTCAATTAAATAATATTTCTTGAACATTAAACCTATAAAACCAACATCTAAGAATTTACACCATAATTACATAATAAGCGTCTATGAATTTAAGATGATTAAATCATACTAAAAATATAAAAGAAAATAGGAATCAAATGGATGTTTCTAAAATTATAATTTACACAACCAATAATTCAAAAGAAAATTATTTATTTACATTTCAAGATAAAAAATAATAAAAACAAACAAAATAACAAAAATACTGATAATTACAAGTAACTGGAATATGTTAGAATTTTGAATTGATAATGAGAGATAATCAGAAATTAAATTTATTTTTATTCTTGTTACATGTGAGATAATTTAATGTAGTTTAATGTAATGAGAATATATATATACATATAATTTAAACAGAGCACATTATTTTGTCCAGCTGACTTTTGGTATATCAAAGTGCTCCGTTAAGCTATCAAGATGTTTATTGAATTCTTCAACTCGCTGTTTGTGAGTCATTGATGCTTTCTTTATTATTCTTTCCTTTTCCTGAAACAATGAGAAATATATTATTTAACTGTATAAATATATAGAACTAATATAGAAAAAAATTGGCCATTTCTTCTTTCCTCATTTGTACAACAAATATCTTTATTTTAAAAAGGGATTAATTAAAATAAATACTACTAATAAATTACAAAGTAATTTTTCTTGTAATAATTAGTTTTGTCAAGAATAGCCAGAAAATTACCAAAATATTTAATTCAAGAGATAAAAGTTAATCCACAAAGAAAAAGTCACTATGAGTAAATAAAGAAACGAATGAAGAGAAGAATAGTTGGGGTGATCAGTCAAATAAGAAGGTAAAAATAAATGATAACATTTATTTTGACATTTGCCGATGTTTTGACCTGAAGTTCAGGCCTTCATCAGGGCTAAGAAAGCCTCGGCCTAAATAGGTGAACTGGTCTACACATTCAAACGAAAATGGACCCATCTTCACCTCCCCTCCAACAGTAGCCACTACATCAGGTCCAGTTCGCATATATTTAGTTTTCTCTTGGTTCACCGTCATGCCCATCGCTTCTGCAGCTTCAGCTAGCCTCAGAAATGCCTTCATCAACGCCTGAAAGGATCTCGCCACCAGGTCCAAGTCATTGGCAAATCCCAGCACCTGTACCAGCCTGTCAATGTTGTTCTAGAGATTTGTATTACAGAATCCCTAATTACCTTTACAAGGCTAGATTAAACAAGAGACACGCGAGGCCATCGCCCTGCCTTAACCCCCTCCTGGACTCAAATTCTGGTGAGATGTCTCGCTGAATCCATACTGAGCATTTCATCTCATCCATTGTGATCCTTATTAGACGCACCAGTTTGGTAGTATCCAGACCTACAGAGCTTCATATAGCTTGGAAATTTTAATGATGTCGTAGAAACTCTTGAAATCGACAAACAGATGATGTGTTGTCATCCTGTACTCCATGGAATTCTCCAGAATAGTCCTCAGGCTGAACGTCTGGTCGACTGTCGATCTTCATCCCCTGAATCCCGCTTGGTATCTTCCTACTTCCCTTTCAGCAAATGGACATAGCTTCATGTAAAGAACGCTGGAAAAATCCTTGTAGGCACACTGGAGAAGGGTTATCCCGCAGTAGTTGATAGCCTTTCTTATGAAGCGGAGTTATTATGCCCATCTTCCATTGCTCCGGGATCCTTTCCTCGATCCAAATGGATAGGATAATGTTATACAAAGCTTTATGAAGTTCTTTGCTGCCATACCTGAGAAGCTCAGCTGGTATAGATCTTCTCCCTGGTGCTTTAATGTTATTGAGGCGACTGAGAGCATCCACGTCATCATTAAATGTTAGTAGATCAGGGGGATGCAAATCGTCCTGCATGTCATGAGCTTCTAAAGTCTCCGGCTCTTCGACATCTTTGTTTAGGAGAGTGCTGAAATATCGCGACCATCTATTGAGGATTTCTTCCTTTCTGGACAGTAGCGAGCCGTCTTCCTTTCTACAAGCCTTAATTCTTGGCTTAAAACGACACCCTGCTCTCATTTATTTTCTTGTAAAAGGCTCTGGTCTCATTTCCTTCCCTATGGGCTTTCATTTCTTCAAACTGCTTTCGCTCCCATTCCCTTTTCTTCCTCTAATGAACCATTTTCTCCTGCCTTCTTTTGTTTTTGTACTCCTCTGAAGCTAGCCTTGTGTGCCTCTTCTGAATCATGTTTGTGTAGGCCCAATTCTTTTCCTCCGTGACCTCGCTACACTCACCTCCAGACCCAGCGTTTCCTTGGCAATCGACGAAATTAAGCTCCATTGCTTTTGTACTGAGCCTTCTGTTGCTCTGGGGTCTTCAAGCCTCTCATTAAGCTGCTGATGATACCTTGATATTACCTCAGGGTCTTTAAGCTTGGCTACAGCAATCTTTTCCACCTTTTCTCCCCTGGGCCTTTTGAACATTGGATATCCTTGCCTTGATCTTGGCCACCACAAGGAAGTGACCAGTATCCATGTAAGCGCCAAGTACCCTTGTGGATCCTCTTCCCAGGAAATAGAGTGCTACGTACTACTAACTTCTTAGAGGCGGCTAAATTAATCAGGAGGAGCCCATTCTCGTTTGTCTCTTTGTGCAGACTATGAATTCCAATTGTTGGCCTAAAGACTCCTCCTTGCCAATTTTAGCGTTGAAGTCACCCAAGATTACCTTGATGTCGCTCTGCGGGCAATTGTCAAAAGCTCTGTCCAGTTAATCATAGAAGGCTTCCTTCTCTTCCTCTGGTGACATCTCTATGGGGGCATAACAACTGAAGATACTAAAGTTGTAGAATTTTCTCTTCAGCCTTATAACACAGATCCTCGGGTTAATGGGGATGCATACTATGATCAGATCCCTTATTCTTCCTCTGACCACAAAATCGGTACCAGAGATGTATTGTGCCTCATGGCAGCTATAATAGACAGTGTGGAACCGTTTCTCCAGCATTACTTTTCCCTTCCATCTCATCTTCTGTAGAGCGACCAAATCTATTGCAGAAGTGTCCAATTGTTGTAGGAACTGCCAAATCGACCCCAGTCTATACATAGATAAAATGTTCCATTGTCCAAATTTTAAGTTCATATGGTGAATCCTATCTTGTTTCCGTGAGGTTTCATGATACTTAAGGGTTTGAGGGGAGCAGGTTATCAGCCTACTGCCCCAAGTCAGGTGGAGGGGCTGCCTCCTCAGAGTTCCTTAACTAGCTTCCCCATCCAGGGCGGCTACCTAGGGGAGGTGACCGTAGGGTGTGTACTGTAAATGACCTTTGACTGTAGTGTGAAGTGTGTGCAGTGTGCTGTATTAGTGTACTGTATGGTGTCAGTATAATGTAATGTTTCCCCAACCTGGAGGACCAGTGGCTGATAAATAAAAATAATAGTGATTAAAATTATAAAATAAATTATAAGTTAACAGTGCAGACCAACTTTTTTTTTACCCTTTTTTTCACCCTACCTGGCATTGCTGCCATATGAAGTATCAGACCACTAACTGGCAGATCTACAGGTCCTGTTACCTCTGTGAAGTTGGCTTCCATCCTCAATGTTTTTTTTTTAATTCCTGCAGGTCTGATAGCCCCTCTCCCCCAATAGTTCTAGAGTTTCTTATATTTTTTAGAAATAGTTCTGTTGACTAAACTAAACTGATGAAAATGCCACATGAATTTACAGGAAACTAATTTCACGACTTGGAAATTCCCTATCAAATATGAAGGAAGCTTGGGACAAGAGCTGATACAATATTTGACTGTTTTTGGCATTTCATCAACACGTTTGAGCGAAGTGATTGTGAATCATGCCTAATCCAAGCTCAACTCTTATGAACTAGTACCAACATGTTTTGCTACAACTATTTCATAGATTTCACAAAATATTCTTGAGCCTACTATAAAACTGAAACAAGTATAAACTGAATTTAAAAATACTTACTTCTTCTGTTTGAATTAATAAGATAACAAAGCTTTAAAATACTTGAAATCATAAATCACTATAAATGAACACAATAGCTTAACATACCACTTTTTCTTGCATCTTCAGAAAAGCTATTTCGGCTTTAGTAAGTTGCTCAGTTTTCTTAACTTGGGGCACTTCAGCTTCTATAATTTCTTCCATCTTTTTCTTATTTTTCTTTTCCTTTTTTTTCCTAAAATTTTATTCATTTAAAACACTCAGTTAAAACAACAAGAAAATACAGAGTGATGTCAAACCATTACTTTTTGATACCAGCATCTCCCTTAAGCTTCAATGCTCCTTTCGATACTAATTGATATTCTGCCATACTATATAATAAATTCACAAATATACACAAAAAAATACGGACTAAGAATTACAATAGTCTCGTTTACTTCACCAACGTCAACAATCTGTAACCTACTGCTGAACTTAAAATAACCTTCATATCTTTGTTATGAATCATCAGCTGATGTTCAAAACAGAAGGATCTATCTGTTGTAGTGATGTGACGTTCTTAATAAATTTAAATTCTGGTGTAAAATTTAAATTAATTTTGTTATATAAGTTAGTTAGTGATTGTGATGACTGATGTTGGTTTCTTATAAGAGAAAAATACAATGCAAGATGAAATTGATGAAGTTTTGCGTCTAATAGCGCAGCCGATTAAATGTAGAAATAAATTGATATCAGGAGAGAATAAGTTTGTTTTAAATTCTAGTTTGCTTTATAAATTAAATAAAATTTTGGATATTGTTGAAAATGATTCCGTTGATATTATATTAACTGAATCACAAAGGAAAGCCTTAGAATTATTTTTAAGAATTATAAATATTATCCCAAAACTTGAAGTTTCTCAAAGATCTGCAGAATCTTTTGATAGTGTAATTGATCTCAGGAAATTTAAACGACTAAGATATTTAGAATTAATTAGAGTTTGTTTAGATAACACTATTGGTATAGATAAATTGAAAACCCAGTTGGAGACTTTTATTTGTAATAGAAGCACTAAATATCTAGATGTGATATTTAAACAAAAAAAACTTCAATGGGCTGAACTAAAGTGTTTAAATCTCCGACATTCTCAACTTAGTGAAATCAGTCAAGATTTTTTTAGACATATGCCATGGATTCAAAATTTAGATTTAAGCTATAATAAGCTTACTTCTATTGATGGTTTACACTCCTTAGACCACTTACAATGTTTGAATATTAGCTTCAATAATCTAGAAAGATGTCCATCTTTAAGCAAAGAAGTTGAAAATAAATTAGAAGTTTTAATTTTAAGCAATAACCACATAACGACGTTATCAGGTATGTTCGATATTATTTTAAAATTGATTAATACATTATACAGGTACAAATATTCAAATATTTTCCAAACTTATTATATTTATACTTCTAGATTGATCATAGCATGTCATTTCATAACAATTATTTTAAAAACTTGATGCACAATAATTTTAATATTATCAATTTTTATTTATTCTTTGTATGAAATTGTTATGCGAGTATGTCTTCTATTGTTTCAACAGGAAATATACTTGTTTAGGGTAGTATATTTAAATAAAATATACTACTCATTTAAAATATGTAGCTTTAGTATACTTAAATAAAAAATGTCATATTTATTTGCAACAAATTCTTGTTAAATGATGCATTAAATTTCTATACCTAAGCACTTAAACTAAAAAAAAAAAAAAAAAAAAAACTGTTTTAGATTTCAAATATTTGTTATTGAAATAAAATATTGATCCATGATTAAATATTTGAGATTAAATTGTTTGCTTGTTATTCATGAAAACAATAGGAAATTTATAAATTTATTGTATTCTATTAAAGACTAAAAATAGATGTAGTAAAGCCACTGGGTTGATCTCTTATTAAATGCTTATGATGAATTAAAATAAGTTTATTATTCGTTTAAAATAATTTTGTGGTAAAAATTAAATTAATTGTGAAATCAATTGAAAAGAAATATGGGCAATGGGCACTGTTCCATTGAAACTATTAGCCCTGGAGCAAGGACCCAAAAATCGACCTCATCATAGACGAAGGTTTGATTGTAAATTACGAATGTGTATGTTATTCTGAGTAAAAAGAAGGTTGTCTGCCGTTCCAGAACCGCTGCTTTAAAAAATTATGCCGATTTAAAGAATATTAGGCCAGTAATTTGAGGATCGAAATGGGAAATCCATTGCGAAAAATGTGAGAAAAGTTTTTATATTTTTTAATTTGTATATATGAGTTTTGACAATTAAAAAAACAAAATTGCTAATGCAGACCACCAAGAGGAAAACTTTTTACAGTCCAAAAAAGTCGGATTTTTTTGTTTTATTTTGTTTTTTTACCTATAACACCTAAATGATGCACCAAAGCGAAAAATTTGCTCTTCAATAAATTAAAGAACATTAAATTGTGCATCGAACAAGTGCATACACTTTATAATTTGGTATAAAACCACAGTCAACCAACGCTGATTTTTACCAAATTTGTCAAAAATTGAGACAAATTAGTACAAATGGCCCTGTAACTTAGAAATGAATTTCCTCAGAGAAAACCCATAGAATCAAAGTTGTAGAGCATCAGATTTTGTGTCCACTGATTATTGACGTTTTTATTGTAGGCCAATTATATATCTCGAATCAGGATTCGTTATTTCTTTATGAAATTCGGTATCTTTCGATAAATTGTTTATCAAAATCCTTTCCTGCTGAGAGGTAGAAAAGAGGCTTATACTGCATTTAACAGAACTTATGGCAGGTCTAGGTTTAGTTATTGAATGTGTTATGAGATACCAGTAATAATACACTTCAATAATTCAGTGGTGTCTGCGTATTAATTGTGAACCTCATGATTTTTAAGATTATATACTTACATAAATATGATTTTCCATTTAGGCTTTCAGACATTGACCTCTTTAAAAACTCTTGATCTATCTTCAAACTGGATATCAAAGAAATCTGAACTTTTGTTTTTAACATCTCTGAAAAATTTAGCTTGCTTCAACATTTATGAAAATCCAATTAGCTCTTTGAAATATCATCGTATTTATGTCTCTGCATCACTGGCTAAAACTGTAAATTCTGATAAAGTAAGGAAGTTTTTTTTTTTTTTTTCTTCTAAATAATGAGATGTTTCAATACTTTATCTTATATATCCAATAGTTTCTTTTAGACCATCAACAACTTTCAAGTAGGGAGAAATCTTTAATTGGTGAGAAGTGGTGCTCTGATTCCCAATCATGTGGCATTAACCCAAACAGATCTTCTTCTACTTTGAATACTTTAATCACAGATGGTAAAGATATTTAGTCGCTATCTTATTGAAATATATATTTTTTTAATCTCCACAATATATTATTGTATGAATCATGGAATATTTAATGCCTATATTACTTTATTGCTTAGAAACTCCTCCAGAACCGAAAAAGGTTAACAAAGGTCAGAGGAGTAATAAAAAATTAAGCAAACCCAGAGAGGTGGTTATCCTTGACATCTCAGAAGGATTGCAGAGAGAAACTAAACCTATCACAACAAAAGGTTCTTATTATTCATTTAATTTAGAAAATTTAATTCATAATTTTTTTCATTCTATTTCATTAATTCTATTACAGAAACAGACTTTAAACCTATTGAAACTAATGTTTCTGAAGACAATTTAATAACCACCTCTGATAAAGAAGATGCATTGATGAAGCAATTGTCTGAAATTAACATCGTGATTGATGATCCACAACTGAATGTAAATTTAATGGTATTATTTGAAAATTTAAATTTAATAGTTAAAACTTTTAATTTATCAAGATTTCTTAATTTGTTAAATAAAAATTATTTATTTTACTACAGCAGCACAATAGTATCTATAATTTAACTAAAGCTGGTTATACACTTGAGCATTCATCCCAAATTAGCCTGTGTGCCAAAAAGAGGATATGCACGATAACACCCCGGTTAAGCAATTAGCCACTTGATCTGAGTTCAATTGGTTCGAGCAAGAAATTTGTGCCATGTAGTAGATTCAGAACATTGAGCCTTCCCTGATCTGTTACTAGAATATTATGTCCACATCTAATGGTAAACTGAAAATTGTTTGTTGTTATTTATTTTTAATAAAAGAAGAGGTGATAGCCAAGCACGTTGAAGTGTGGGTACCAGAGTGCCTGGTTCTGAATGTTCTAGGTTTGATTCCCACCTGGGTGAGTTAATATTTATTTCTCGTTGAATTCAGGAAATGAATCACTCCCATTCTGGTAAATACACAACGACAACCTTAAGTTTGCTGTCTGGTTTTGGCAAAAAGAACCACAAGGTCCACTTGCCAGTTGGCGGGATGGACGAACTGGTTAATATGTGTGCACAGCACCGCACATTTCCTGGCAACCAGGATCAAAGATAATTAGAGAAAATAATTAGGATTTCGCGTTCTGGTGCCCAGGGGGCTTTTAATTTTGCCATTAATCCCCTGGCCCGGAAAAACTTAATATTTTATTTATTTATTTTATGAGGATTTCCAATATTGAATAATTTTGGGGATATGATGGAGAGACACTACACAATATTTAGAAAAGCCACATCTGTCAAAGAATGCCTTGCTGTGACACTGAAATTTCTGGCTACAGGAGACTCCTGCTTGAGTCTGCAGTATTTCATAAAAATTTTTAAAAAAGCCATTGGTTATATGTTTGAGATCAACATGAAAGGATTGACTAGCAGGAGAGGAGCAGTAGGCTTATATTGTTCGGTCCAACTTGACTACTCACCTCTTCCTTATAAACTGTCTACAAAGGGAGCATGCACTCACTTTTGTGTACAGACAACTTTCGGATCGCACCAAGGCATGCAGATTGACTTGGTTTGTCCTTCAAAAATCTGAGAAAAAACATGGCGATTGCCTGCTTATTGAAGGCAAATGCTCAACTGTATACACAGCTTAAGGAATTCATAAGAAAAAATTAATAAAATAAACAAATTTACTGTTGCCCAAAAAAAAATATTGTGTATTGTTTTCGAAATTTTTGTTATGTAGTATATAGTATTTTTCTTCTTCACTCTTCCTTTGTAAATAATCATTTTAGAAATTAGTAGAGTTGATTTGTCTCTATCCTTGTGCCACATTTCTGGTCATCTACTTTTCTAATACTGGTGTAGATTTCAAAAACAGCATCTATTCTATTTATCGAAAATATTTTTTCCTCTACCGTCTTACTCATCAAAGTTCCAGAGGCAAGTTCACAGTTGTAAATGTCTAATTTTATGGTGCCTTTTTATATTAGTATTTCAATTCTTTTTAATTTAGCCAATCCTTATTGCTGTATATTCTTTTCAGAAATATATTTTGTGAGTGCCGTTTACCATATCTTTATTTCTTGGCTACAAATCATGCTACTTCCTTTTCTATTCTAGGCTCCCTATTCATAATCAAATTTCCTTGTTTTGAGTTGGAAATATCTTTTTCTATATAAATTTGACCTTAACCTATTTAATTGGTAATTTTAATCAAAATTCGTTCCCTTTCCATACTAGTAAACATAATACATACTACTTGAGATCTTGTAGGTTCCCATTCACACACAGCTGTCTGTATCTCAGGTGAGCTTGGTCTGACTTACATTCTGAGGGTGATGCAGTTCTGGAAGACATGGTCTAATGTGTGACACATGGGGAGAGCTGCTATTGATTGAGGAAGGGAGGAGTAGTATTCCAACCTTCTCAGTTTTCGGACTCCATATTCTAATATAAAAATATAGAACTGCTTCCTTTGAAAAATCCTCCTTTCTTATTTGTTGCTCCTCTTTCTGAAATTAGTTACCTATCTCTATTTGGTAAGCTTCTTCACTATCTTCCTCGAAACATCAACTTTTGATGTTGATGATGCTATATCATTACCTCTCCACCTTATATCTCAATCATCTTCTTATTTATATCAATATAATGTTTATTGATTATGTTATAATCAGTTATTTAAACTGATTATGTCTGCATAAAAGTAGATAACAGCTATAATATTTATGCTCATAGTTGTTGTTTGGTCCTAGAATAAATATTACATTTCAATTTTTAAAGAAATACAATTCATACTGCTGCTGGTTAAAGTGTTCACATATTTATTTCCTTAATGGGATTATGATTATTTTTTTAAATTGTTCACTGATTTTTTTAATGTGATTAAAATAAATATTTACTAAAATGTCAATTTGTACTGCAAAACTTTTTAGATGAATTGGCTAGGATCATGCTGAACCACCAGTATTTTCTCCCAATTGTGGTTATCAACTTTATAGAGGCTGGATTTGCCCTTGAAGGAACTTGATATCACAGTCTGCTCTAAGCGGGTGTGAGGGAATAAATAATTATCTGTCACTGTCAGATTTGAGCCTCAGCCCAGGAGACGAGCTGATCACTTTACTCACTAAGCGGCCCCACTCCCCTTATCTTTCTAAATCACGCTTTAAAATATGCATTTTATAAAGTACTTATATTTAATTTTAGACCTCAGTGAGGCTCATGTCAGCCCATGTGTATTTATTCTGGAAATCAATTACATGTAGTTGGAAGTGAGGGATATTTTTTTGTTTCAGGATAAAAATGAAGTTTTTGAAACCGTCCAGGAAAATAATTCGGAAACTTCAAAAATATTGATAAGTGCGACTATTCATGCCCATGATGTCATTGAAGAAACGGATCCAACAATAGAAGGTGAAGATACTGTGATTGTAACAAGTTCAGGAAAAAGTAATGAACTACTTGAGACAAAGCTGGAAGAAAATCATGAAAATATTACTGAAAGAATTACAGAACCAGAAGAATCCTTTGAAAAATCAACCATTCTGGACAATGAAACTGAATCATCCAATGATAATTACTCTGATTCAAATGCACCATTAATTCACAATGAAAATGAAAATAGCAATACAGCATACCAGTCTTCAGATTCTTTATCTGAAGATAGTAATGGATTTTCAGATACTGAAGGTAGTGATTTTTATTAAAGCATTATTAATTATGAATTAATATTATATCTGTAGATGGTTGACTGTCTGATAAATCAAGAAGAATATGGTATGAGAGTCAGTCTGAAAAACACTAACAAATTGCCAATTATTTATTCATTTCAACCAACATCGCAGGTCTTCATCAGGGTGAAATAGTTGGAGGTCTAGTTTGTGTAACTATTTTGAACTAATAAAGCCCTGCAATGATGGTCAGTATTTTAACATATTATTGAATAAATAATTAGAAATTATTTATCTGACCGACTCCCGGACCATCTCCTTCTTAAATAGTGAGTAAAACTGTTAATATATTATAAAGAAATATGATTATTTTATTTCAGATGAAGTTTTGTGGCAGGTCCAAAGAAAAGATAACGTTACAGGAGCATTTCATAATATCATTCTTGTTTTACTAGATGAGTAAGTAACTGAAATGAAAAACAGTGATTCGCTGACAACACTATGATCATTTTGGGTTCATTTATATTTTATTTTGCAGTGAACTAAAAGAACGCAGTACATCTAATCATCATGTGATAGCACATTGGCCTTTGAGCTCTGTTCAGTCATGTACTAAGACTAAGTCTGATCCTGTTATTGTAGAAATAGAATTTGACACCTTAAAGAAAGACAAGCGATCTAGAACATACATAATGGAATATGCTGATGCTCAGGTAAACATTGAATTATAACTTTCTATAATTATTTCTTCTTAGTCTAAGAGCTGGGTAATTCCTGAGAAATGGTCTTAATTAGAAGTTTCATTGGCATACATTTAATCATTATCTTTCTTTTATTAACAGTAAGGAATATTGAAAAAAATATTAAACGGTAATTAACTTCATGTAACAACTTCCACGTCTATTACATGTGATTGCTTGTGACATCAATTGTTTCATACTATTTATATGTTTGTGTAATAAAATTTTATTTTACTCACAATATTATTTTTTAAATAATTAACCTTTTAGGTTCTTTTGAAAAAAATGTACAGCATTCTTGAGACAAGGCCTCTAAGCGATATGAACCAAAGAACTTACAAATGCATCAAATGTACAGCTTTGTTTGTCCATGACATTCCAATTCCAAGTGCTTTCAGAGCTAAAGGTTTGGTAATGTTTCTTGTTTATCTTTTAAATTTTATTAATTAGTTTATATTTAAATTCCAACATTTTTTATACAGGATCACTTATTAGCTGTACAGTTTGCTCCAGCACCTTGGTGGTGGAAGTGGAAGAACCAAGATTACCTGAACCAAAAATTACTCCTCTTCCTGTTGTAAGTCATTCATCGTCACAATCCAGTATTGGTAAGTTATCAAACTAATTCTTTATTAAAGTTTCATCAAGAAACATACATTGTTTAGATATTGTAAGATGAATTGTGTAAATTAATTTTATTAATTTAAATTCATTCGTTTTAAGTGTTGGAAATCAATTTGAACCAGAGGTCTCCAACGTTTTCGCCCGCGGGCCATGTGTAGTGATAAAAAAAAGGTTGTTCGATAAATGGGAGAGATCAGTTGTTAAATTAACTTTCTAAGTGAAAAAACTCATGCAATAAATATTGTAGCAACCATATGTTTGAGTGATTTAGTAAACTTCATTTTTTAAATAGTTTTTAAAATTTTACCGCGTAATCAAAAAAACTTTCGCAGTCCAGATTGGAGGTGCTTATGGAGTGGGCCGTTCGTTTGAAGATCCCTGGTTTAAACTATCATATGGTTTTGAAACTATTTTTAAATATAATTTTAAGAAAGGTTTCTGGGAGCATGGGTGTTGGAATAATGATATTCGTATGTGATCCACTTTCTTTGACACTAAGCATCTTACAAAGCTATAGAAAAAACTATATCACACTATTAATTAGGAGATATTATTCTTACAGTCCTAATATATCCTGTCAGATTATGTTTATTGCAACAATCTTATGATATAAATAATTTGTATTCATTTATTTACTATAGGAGTATTAATAACCTTTTTTTCTAAAGAGGTCTGTCATGTATCTGAGTTAAAACTACTTATATTTCACAAAGCTTAAAATCAATCAATTCACAATTGAAAAAAAAAATTCTCCAAAAACAATTCAAATTATTCAAACTAAATTCAAGCACATCTTTCCTTTTTTTTTTTTTTTTGGCACATGCAAATTTCAACACTCCTTTGTTCAGATGCAGCATGGTTGACCTTTATCTTGAATGAACCCAGGTTAAAAGTGTAATCTAGCTGTCAGAGTAAAATGAAGTTTTAAAAATAAACATATATTTTATGGATTTATTTGCAGTTTCTTTCCAATGTCAAATAAATGCTAGGGTACCATAAATATCTTGGAAAAGACATTTTTTTTTACTTATCTTTAAATATCAAACTTTAAGGCAATTTATTTATATGGTTTTCAAGTGTTCTTTACTTAATTCAATTTAAATGAGTGTCATTTATCTTTTATAAGTAATTAAGTAAACTTTTACATTAATTTTGTAGTTCATACTTTGAAGTTTGCAAAAATGTGTTTCTTTTTTGTTAGCCTGCTGTTTACTACATTTTGGACTACTGATTTTTACTGCATATATATATAAACATATTACTGATTTATACTCAAGAGATTGCATGGACCCTATTTCAGTTGTAACCCCTCAGAATCTCTTGTTTTGTTGTCGAGTGTCGAGGCTAGAGAAAGATTGCTGCAACATTACCAAGTTAATATGAAGGAATTACTAAAATATTACCAATTTCACCCTTTTTATTCTGATTAGAATTATTGGTTAAACGGTTTAACCTGCCCTTTCTATTCCTTTTAGAGTACAAATGATAAGAAAATTTTAAATGAGATTCTTCAACCAGCTTCTCTTCTGCTTTGAACAAATGTTTTCAGGCATGTTTAACATTGTCATGTCTTGTTTAGGTATATTAACGTGCATAAGGTCATGATGACCTTGCAGTTTTGTAATGTGTAAAAGGGGCCTATGGGTCTGTTCTTTCATTGTTAGCTTGTAAAGGTGTGTGTAATGTAAGGTTGTTTTTATAATATACATGTGTGTATTTTAGTTATTTCTAAATATTTTTGAGTGGAAGGAAATTTCAGTTTGCTTATGTGAGTCTTTGTTTTTTAGATTGACTAGGTTTGATGAAGTTATAAAATTTATTTTTTTTTTGTTTTGGTTTATTATTTTCAATAATAAACCATTGTAATCGAAACAAAAAATGCAAAAACTTAATCCCCTCTCAAAATTTGATATTTTACATTTCAGGATATGTAGAATTCGAAAAAGAATAAAAATTGTTTTGTTCCAGTCCGCGCATTTTCTCTGAAACGACTACACCGATTTTAATCAAATTTGGATTTAAAATCAGAGGTCATCCGAGGATGAACCTCCTTCATCTACATTACTAGCCCCCTTGAACTTTCAAAATGGATAGTAATGTACCAATTTCAATGAAACCTGGCTAAAGTCTTTTTCTTGATGCCCTTTAAATTTATCTGTACAACATACTTCAATGAAAAGAAGCTGGAAAAAAAGTTACGAGGGATGCTAAGATTCAGAATAACTCAAAAAGTATTCACTTTTTTGTCGATATTGTGACAAGATTTTTCAAAGGTATTTACATTTATTAAATAATGAAGAAATTTTCATCGAAATCGGAGCACTGTTAGTGAAGATATTGCGATTTTTAAATATTTTTGGTTTATTGTTTTCAATAATAATAATTTTATGTTTCAGGATAGGTAGAATTCAAAAAATGAATAAATTTTTTTTGTCTGTCCGCCGTCTGCGCATTTTATCCAAAACTACGGTTTTTTTTTTTTTTTAATTTTACGAAATTTTCTTTAAAAAAACGTTAAAATCAGAGAATTAGAAGCAAAGATGTAGTCTCTAGAAGTTTTTTATGTTCTACTGCAAATCCTTTGTTTTGGATTTTTATTTTTTAATGTGTAACTGAAGTAATGCTACTTTTTTTTAACTAATCACTAATGATGAAAAAAAAAATGTTTAGGCAAATAATTGGAATCAACTTTTTATTCCTTTTAATTTGTCACTAGAAAGGGAATGTTACTTTAGATATATAATTGTTGGGAAATAATAAACCATTGTGAAATAATTTGCAGTGTTTTTAGTTAAGGACTCTTAAGTTCAATGAAACCTCTAGTTCAAGATAAATTGTTGTTCTTGTTGAAAATTGCCTGAAATGTAGTCAGATTTTTTATAGAATTTTTATCAGTCTTATGATTTTGTTGTATAAATGTTGTCTGCTCAATGAGATCTGTGTAAGAAAAATTATTTGAATGTGACAAAAAAATTAAATATAGCTTATAGCATTGTTACAAAATACCTTTTCATTTTTATTATTATTTTGTTTTTCAGTTTAACTATTCTTTTCAAGTTTGACTTCAAGGCAGAGATGGGCAAATGCTACTCTGAGTACTGAGTATCAAGTATTTTACTCAAATACTGACCTTTTTTAGAGCACCATAGAATTTAATTACTACTACAGTTGATATCAAAGGATTAACTGAAGTAGTGATTGAATTCCCAATAGTGATTCAATTTGAGTAAAGTACTTGCTACTCGGTACTCAGAGTAGCATTTGCCCATTTCTGAAGCTAACATTTTTTTTCACTTAAAAGATTATCCTTATAACAGTCATTTGAATGATTGTGAGCTGGACCGTTATCCCATACAAAAAAAAAAAAAAAAAAAAAAGTGAAAATCACTTAGACTTCCAGGCAAAAATCTAATTTGTAATTTAATGGAATAAAAAGAAAGTGAATGAATGAAAATAATTTTATTATTCTGGGACTAGTGTCCCTTTAGAACAAGTTACAAGTACAGAAGATATATTAATATTCTGGTGTGTCCATAAAATACAATTATATATTTACAGGATGATAGTAATATAATAAAATTATAGATAATAAAAAGATATAAAGACTTGTATAAATATAAAATAAAAAAAGAAAGTAAATTAAGTAAACAAAATATCAATGAATCACAAAATTATCAAAGCGTCTGGGTGTACTTTGAGATTCTTACAGTTTAGGTTTTTAAGTGCATTTCATGATCAATCGGATTGGGAATGGAGAAGGTATTCGAAGAGGAAAGATTTGAAAGAGGATACTGACTTTGCGTGTCGAATATCTGAGGGTATAGAGGTCCAGAGGGAGACAACTTGAATTATAAAGGATTTGTCAAACGCAGCAGTTCGGTGAGGAGGTGGATAGAGGTCGGTCGTGTGGGATCTGGTGGGAAGGAATTGAAAGGAGCGTTTGAATTGTAGGATCTGTAGAATATAGGCGGGTCGCTGAATTCTAATGGCCTGATTAGGAAGGAAATACTGAAGGCGGCAGGACGGATAAATCCACTTCAACTCGGTGTACAACTGGGTAATATGTGTATCCCTTGAGATCCCGAAGATAAAGCGGATTGAGCAATTCATTAGACGTTTAAGTTTAGCTTTGAGTTCTCCCGAGAGTCTACCATACACCATACAGCCATATTCGAAGTGGGGGAAAACAAGAGATGAGACCAGGAGTTGATGGGTTTTGAACGGAAGAAGATAACGTACATGGTTAAACTGTTTCAGGGTGGGAATAGTACGGCAGGGTAATTTGGGAGATGTGTGGTTTCCAGGAGTGCTGCCGAATCTTAGATCAATTGTATGAACTAGAGGGGTAGCATTGTATTACAATTCATATGCCAATCCACTTCAAAAACTTTATTATATTATTCATAAAGGTAGGGAGATAATTGAAAAATTTGATAATTTAAGAGGAAATATTTTACTGACCACATCCCGACCACTTCCTCTTAAGTTTATCATATTATATTAATTTTTAAATCTAATGCTTAAAGTTTTGTAAGAACTAATGTGTTTTTATTACATGTATGGATGAAATGAATTAATGGAATGCTAAGCAACTTTCTTAATATGAAGAAGATTAACATGCATGTGTTGAGCAAGTGAACAGTTCAGGTTTTCTTCAATTATCAAAGTTCAAAATAGTCTTATTACCATATCTTGCCAAATTTCAATGAAAATTATTGAAACTAATTTAAATTATTGGATACAATAAAGCAAGAATAAAAGAAGTGTGTTGTAATAGCTTTTGAAGCTGTACTCGTTTTTGGTGAAAGTCACAATAACAAAAAAGGACTTCGGGCATGTGTAACATATGAGAACTAAAACGATTTCAAAATAACAATTTTTGACTTGTCTGTTTTTTTCTTATTATTAAATTATTTATTTTATATTTATAACCCATTTAATAGTTTTTTTAGTTTGTTTGTTCTTTTTTTTTTAATTTTAAAGCTATGAATTTCATTCCATATTATTTATAAATAAATATTCACATTTTAAAATTTATGTCTCTTTGATTGATTTAATAAGTTTATTCATAATATTAAAGCATAACAGCTCCCTTTGTTTTTCTTTTCTTTTTTTTTTTTTTTGTCTTATTAAGATAATTTATTTGTTAATGTTATTTTGTTTGTTGTCTAATTTACCAATAAACCTTTGCATGCAAACGGACAATGTGGTATGTACATTTTTAGGTAAGGGTAGCATTAAGGCGGAAGAGACAGCTTCTAAGGATTGGAAAACAAAATGTAAGCCTCATTAACTCATTAACTTTTTTTTTTGTTGCTTCATATTACTTTGCTCATTCCTTCTTTTTATTACTTCTTCTTTCCACCTTTGATCTAAATAATTTAATATTCTGATAATCTTTTTTTTTTTTGCATGTTTAAATTATAGTAAATTTATTAATAGTAATTAGATCTAATTTATATCTGACTATTAAATATTGTTTTGTCAATTCTTACCTTCTTGGGTTGATAAGATAGTATGTGTTTGTACCATTTGCTATTCATCATCTGTTCAAGCAAGATTGCTACTGCCAAGTTATTCTACTCCATTTCTAGTTTCTATTAGTCTTGTATGTAAGTCTGTTAAAATCGGATATGATGAATAAGGTATGGGAAATATTACCTCAAAGAGTTCCTCTTATTTAAAAACTTCACTTTTTATTTCATAAAACCAAATAATCCAATCGTATTTTACATGTTTGGCCTCATTTTAAACTATATAGCTCATATTAAAGTAAAATTCCATCAAATTGATGAGCAATATGGTACTAATCATTTATACTTGTGCTGTTTTTGATAAAAATAAAAAATGTTTGTTTGAAATATTTGTTGTTAATCCTAAATATTGAATATTACCAATTATTTAATTAAGGGTGCTCACTTTATAGAGGCTGAGTGTGGGTTCTCTCGACCCCAGGGTCGATCCATGGCCAGTGAAACAGAATAAATAATTTATCTGCCATAGGCCAGAATTTGAATCTGATACCTTGAGCATCGGAAGCTCAGGACCATACCACTGAGCTACCCCGCTCCCTATACTCAAATAAGGTCGGCTAAATGAGAAGGTTCAAATGATTAAAATTACATATTCGCTTTAAAAAAATTGAGCTTACATGTATTAATAATCACATTATTAAATTTTAAATATCAGGATTGTTTGAAACAAACAATGTTATTGAAGCTCTGTTGGTACTTGATACTTTTTATTAATCATTAATTAATTTAATAACTACATTTCTATGGAATATTAATCAAGCTGAATATTCAAGTTTTTTTTTTGTTTTTTTTGTTTCAAGTTTTCTTATCACTTCATATTAAGGTACATTGATGATGGGAGCATTTAATTGTTCCTCTTAAATTTTCTGTAGGGTCTGCTGCTTCTCTTGAACCTAGCCGATATGAAAGGAAATTTAGTAATCAAAAATATGAAAGTGACATTGAAGTTATTAGTAACCCCAGTCAAAGTAGTATAGAAGTACTTGATGAACATAGCAGGTAAATGCAAATTTTTAGATTTTCATCCTTTTATATTGTCAATTGATCTTTGGTTTCTCTTTAAAATTGGATTTAATTAAAATATCAACCCCTTTTGGAAAATCAAACTTGTGCACTAAGCCATCATGAATCATTTATAATTAATTAATCTGAATAACAATTTAAGAATGACATTAATAATTAAAATTGAGTTATGATTCTAAAGTGAATAAGTGCATGCTCCATTTGTCAAAATCATGAACTACTTTCAGGCAAAATAGAAATGAAATTATAAGCATGCCAACACTTCTCCTGCTCACTCACTCAATAGACATGAGTGTGAAGAAAATAGTTATTGTCTGGAATCTTGCAACTGATCCTACTCGCACCGATCAGTGATTACTTCAGTGTAGTGTAAATAATCTACGGAAGTTAAATGTAAAATAAAGATATTTTGGCGGGAATAGGCGAATAGCCTTCCGCTTTTGTATCGGGGATTGAGGTTATTTACACTCGTGAATTATTAAAACAAAACCCCGGCACTAGATATTGACTTTTTTGAGGGTGTTTAACTGTGATTGGGAATTCGGGAATCTAATACCTTTGTGACACTGTGTGAGAAGAAACAATAAGAATACATATATGAAATGTGGGACTTAGTAAACACTTTGAATGAATTGACTCACCTGGTTTATTCTTCAATTGTGAGGCCTATAGGACAACTAAATAAAATGACTATTCACTCCTGTCTAACAAAACAAATTTATTTTAACAATTGATAATAAATGAATATATATAAGTGAACGGTCGGCTTGATGATCTTGGTCTTCAATGCAGTAAGCCTCGCTTCCCAGGTGACGTCTTCTCGTGTTCCCGTCCAGGCCTCAAGTGTTTGGTGTCCTCTTCCAACTGCTTCTACCTGATCAGACCTTTTTTCTTCTTTTTGATTGTTTATCGATATGGGATTTTCCAATGAGCAATTTGTCCACTGCACAATTGAGTACAATTCACAGTGCAACCTCACATTCCTATATATTATATATTCCTTCTCATTTCCTCACACAATGTCGTCTAAAGGAGTAAATACAGGGGGATGTCTACTACAGTAGATGGGCTTAGTTATGGTTTTACCAACTGCTCTTTTCTCATCACTCACTCAGTAAAGATCTGTTTTCCTAAGTCCTTTAAATGAAAATGCTTATTATCTTTTGACAATTCTTTTCACTCAAATGCAGTAAAAATGCAGAAGCGGGTGCCTATTCAAGGGGGTTTACATTTAAGAACTGGTTGGAAAGATAACTAGGAACTATGATGGAGAACTAAAGGTTGTATATCTTTCGTTAGGAAAAACATAAAGAACGAAAAGACGCCAGAATTTCTATTTTTGTTGACTCTCAAGCAGCAATCTTTGCCTTAAAGCTTCCAAACAATGAAAACTCTGAGGTTGAAAAAATTAAAACACCCATAAAAACTCTGACAGAGCATTGAACAGAGCTTGCCTGGTCCATCAGTAGATACCAGGACATTGTAGACTATGGATAATGAGAGAACAGATCAACTTTCCTAGAAAGAAACCAAAGAGCCCTAACCAGATTTCTCTTTTCATTATGGTTCTGCTGTATGAATTGTCCTAGGAACCTTCTTCCACCACTGGAAGGCACTACCAGATCCAGGATTTCATTTCGGGGAAGAGCTTCAGCCTGAAAGCTCTTTTTTTTAATATAACGATAATTACTTTGAATGAAAAAGACAGAAACTAACTGCCTATCTGAAATGGTGTTTAAGTGATTATTGAAGTCCTATTAAATGAAATTACACAAACAATAATACTTTTAGAGATAGTTTTTTCTTAAGACATGATAATATTTTACCATTTGGGGGAGGCTTCAGCCCGAAAGCCCCTCCTCTCCCCTCTGTAGATCCGCCTGTGTTGGCAGGAAAAGTTTGCTAAGAAAGCAGAGGAAAAACAATGGCAGATGCTTAATGAAAGTGAGTGCATTTCTCAAAGTTTAACAAGAACTGAGTCAATCATGTGCTTCCACCAGCTTACAAGTCACAATTACATCCAAAAATACCTCCATCTTAAAGGCATATCAGGAAATCGGACATACTCCCTTTGTAATAGTGGAGAAATGATTAGACATCACCTAGATTCTTATCCTACTTGAGTATTAGGAACACATTTACCAAATCTGAGGCCTACTATAAAATAGATTGCAAGACCACAGGTGACTTGAAAGCCAAAGTATAAGTGTCATTTAGAAATCTGAATGAAAATTTCTCACAGCTATTTACATTGGTCTTGCTTTATATCAATTTTGTTATATAAAGTTCCTACAATTTTAATTTTGTTTTTTCAGTATTAAAAGTATAAATTTATAAGTGATGTAATGTTAATACTATGTGATATCAGTGGTTTAAAAGTCATACAATAAATTTTCTCGAAATAAATTTGAAATTATTAGGATAATCTATTTTGAAATTTGAAGAGAATTTGTATTATACTACCTCATTTGTTTAATTTTAATCCAAAAATTGTAGTAATGTTTACTTTTTTTTTTAAATTAATCTTCAAATAATAATATTCCCCACAGGAGCACTACACCACGTAGGAAAATTTCATTTGAAGAGAAACAGAACTTAAACACTAGTGCACTTCCTCAATTGGCAACAGTCATAGAAATTAATTCTCAATTTGCCAATCTAACTGAAAGCAGTTCTTCAGGTGCTCATAATGTTTTTTATACTCTTTTTTTTATCTGAATGTGTTATTTTTTCAGTTTTATTTACTAATTTTATTAACCTATGCAATTTGAAATAATATTTTTAAAAGTTTTATGGTGTGTTGGCATTATAAACAAAAGCTGCTTATTGTTAGGCTCATTAACAGAGAGTGTAATAACGGCATATGAAGCTCTTAATATTAATAGAAAGAGATTCTCTGATGAAGAAGTTTTGACTGAGGAAGAAAGCTCTCCAGATTCTGAGCCTCATCCTCCAGGTTCTTTATAAAATATAATCTTTCATGTTAATTAATAATTTCTTTATAATTCCTTTTTTCAATAACTCTTGCTATCGTAATTTTTTTTTTAAATTTTAGATACTATTGAAGAAGTGATTCCTACATCAATTTGGAAAAACGAAAGTGATGTTTATTCCTACGTCGATTTTATGGATGTTGATGCCAGAGTGAAACTGTACCTGTATCAAATGCTGTTTGAAGATGATAATGAAGGGCTTTTAATGATAGCCAGAGTATGTTTGTAAATTTATTTTGATATTTTTTGATTTAAAAAATATTTTTAAGCATTAAAAATAAAGTTTTAGAAGCACGGATATTATTAAAATTTCCATCGTTCAAATTACCGTTATTTGTATCATTGGTGATAAATATTCAGGACGCAGTCTTTTTTAAATTTTTTTTTATTTTTGCCAACGTTTCAACCCAAACATGTGGGTCATCTTCAGGGCTGAAAATGTTTTTTTAAAATTACAATCAGAGATATAATAGTATACGACCGCTAATTATAAATAATAAACTATAGTGATTGATGGCACATGAATCTTAACTAATATTGTAATACACATATTAAAATAGTTATACAAACTAAAAATAAAAAATAATGTATATAATCCATTTATATAAATTTGTAATATTTTCTCTTACTAACCGTGGTTTGAGCACTGAGGTTGTTCATGTACTGATACATTTGGTAGGTAAGTAAAAAGGTCAGGGGGGGGAGGATTTCCCACTTGTCCTTTTTCAGATAGCAAAAGGTAAGTAAACAAGGTTAGAGGGGAAGGGAGGGTAACATTTGTTGTTTGTAGAATATACATAATTTGCTGACAAATATTTCAGACTTGTACAATATTTGAGTTATTTCATATGGTTACAGAAATGTGACTATTGACTAGTATTAAAATGAAGATAAGCAAAAGGTGCCAATTAATATAAATATAGCTTAGTTTGATAACAAGTATACAAGGGTTAGATGAATAATTTTTATAATAAAGACAATTTCAATGAATGCAGATGATACTTAGGACAACATATTATACAATATTTATCATAATATAAGTTTGTGTTATTTTAAGGATTACATAGGCTATTGTTTCAGGAGGCGGAAAATATTTGAATATGTATTGCAGATCTTTTCTTTGTCTACTTTATGGTTTACCGGATTATTTTTTTCCAAATTAATGAATATGGATTCCGATAGTAGTCATTTTTGGTGATTGGGAACTGTGGCGAGTATGGTTGGGTTTTCGAAATCAAATGTGTGGTTTAGGGTTATGGCGTGTTCCGCTAGTTTTGAGGCAAACGGGTTATTTGTTTATGTTCATGTTATCCTGAATCCAAAAATTTATAATATACTTTCTTCTTTAATTACATCTCCCCCACCAACTTCTCCTTTAATAACTATTTAAGAATAATATTACTATCATTTTGCTTAAGAAACCAACTTTTCTGCCAATGAATTGTGTTGGATGATATTATATTATTTTATTGTTTTCTGTTGAATTTTAAGTATAGAAAATAATAATGTACTTTTTGTATGTTTTACAATGGCTTATTTCATGCATAAACTTATTTTTTCAGTGTCACTTATGGAAAACTGGAGGTTCGGACTATGATGGGTGTGTTGTTATTTCAAATTTAAAAATTTATTTCTTGTCTCATTCTCGAACCAATTTCAAGTGAGTGACAGTCATAGATTAGATTCAATAATGTTTTTAGCCTACTTGGTGTATTATTTCCATTTTATATTTCAGAGAAGATACTTGCGACTGGCTTTCTAAATTTGATTGTTACAATTTGAAGGATGTGAAAGAAATTGCACCTTTACTTTGGCAACAAGGAGCACGAATACAGATAAAACATATTTGTTATTTGGCACTATTGATGGACAAGAATAGGAATCAAAATTTCTTTAAACATTTAATAGGTATTGGTTTTTTTTTTTTTTTTTATAGTATGTTTAAAGCCCTCTACTTCTCACATTTAATATAAAAATAAATAGGACATTTGAGGGGAATGAAATGCCAGTAATTGAGGGTGGAATAGTTCAACAAAAATATAGTACAGCATCAACAACCGCACCTTTCTATATCAACCTGTCATCTAGATATTTTACAAAGAAAACCACAATTTTTTCTTGTAAAAATTGAAATTTCTCTTTAAAATTCAAAAACTTAACACCCCTCAAAATTTTTGTTTTTATATTTTAAGTTACGTAGAAATCGAACATCAAATAAAAAATAATTTGTCAGTCCTGGGCTTTTCCCTAAGACTGCTGGACCAATTTTTTTTAAAATTTGGAATCAAAATCAGAGGTCACCCGATGATGATTCTCCTACCTTGACACAAGTATCCTCCCTTTACTTTCAAGATGGCAATCGAAAAATCTGTTTTGGTATTGACTATAGCACCTAAATGAATGCACCAATTTCAATGAAACTTGCCTAAAGTCTTCTCCTCGATGCCCTTTAAATATGTATATGAATAGAATATACTACATCAAAAAGTATTTCAATTTCAAGATGGCAGCCAAAATATCTGTTGTATAGACTGTAGCGCCTGAACAGATTTTCTGACCTTAATGAAACTTGGCTAGTGTTCTTCTCGATGTCCTTTAAATTTATTTATATAACAAAAAAAAGTTACATGGGGTGATAAAATTGTTCCTCCAAGCAATTCTTTCCTGCAAATTGATTGCCACCTTCCAATTCTGATATTTGAATTTTTATAGTGAAAAATATGAAAACGTTCTAGATAATAAGGTACTGTTGGTGGCACTGTCCTACATGTTTGGTAATTTATTACTGATATTTGCCCTCTGGGACACCCTGTAAATAATGTTCTTCTTATATATTATATATACCTATAAAAAGAAATTTTCTCACTTTTCGTATCGTTTTAATTTATATTATTATTTTTATTTCTTTTAGGCCTTTCACTGGAAGGAATCAAAATACAAAATAATTGGAACAATAGTTCAGAATTGGCTCTTCAGCAATCTATACTTTCTTCAAATTCTATTGATAAATCTCTGGATCCTACAGTTAATTATTTTACTATCTGCCTCTCTATATCAATTCTCAAGGATGATGGTAATTGCCTCTTTTTATAATTTAGATTATAATTTTTCTGTGGAAATAGGCCTAGTTAAAATTCAATTTTGGGAAAAAATTAATACATTCAATTCTTTATAATTCTCATTTTGAGGAAATGAAAAACCTCTTTGTGCTATACCTAATTTGAGGTAAAAACGATCTGAATATTTGAACTGTTCTAGTTATATAAGAAATAAATATTTTTTATTTGAGATAAAGATATGAAACATGAATGTATTCTGATGGATTCAAATTTTCTTTTTTTGTGATTGATATAAAAATACATGTACACTGCACCAAAGTATAAAAATATACCACTTAAAAATCTAGGTCTTAATTTAATATTTGATATCCTTATATTTTAAGATTTTTGTCCCTAAATATTAGAAGGACCAGAAAGTAATGTTGTTTCTGACCTTGTTATTATTTGGTCGTCATTTGGCTGCTCATTGTGTACATATAAGACATGGAAAAGACATTCTAAGATATAGTGACTTGTTTAGTTGCAAATAATTAAATTAAATTTTTTTTTTGCAATTTTTAGTGAAATGGTCAGCCAAATACCAGAAGACGTATATATCTGGCATATGTATATGGTATATATCTGCATGCTTTTCGAGTTTCGCAAGGGTAGTAACACAACAGTTATTACCAAAACATTTTTGATATTTATCCAAATGCATTAGACGTTCGAAAAATTCCAAAGATGGTTTTTCAAGTTCAGATCCAGTAATCTTGGTCTTTCCTACTCGTATCGATCAGGAAGACCCATAACGTTAGATAACAATGTGTTAAAGACAGGAATGGAAGGGACTTTTTGGGTTTACACCTCAAAAGTTTGTGTGTTTGGTGGAGTATTCATGGTGTTATTCATTTTGAAAGCTGGACAAACTGTGAATACAGACCGTTACTGTGAATAATTGGATCGTGTGAATCAAGTTTTAATTGAAACGATTGTTAATAGAAAATGCGTTATTCAGCAGCACAAAAATGCAAGATCACACTGCTTAAGACGAATATTAAAAAAATTAATGAATTGGGGTGGGAGGTACTGCCTCACGCACCATTCTAGCCGTTGCACCATCAGATTTCCATTTGTTCCTATTGTTTCAACACTTTCTAAGTGGCAAAAGTTTGCAAATTTGAATGATGTCCAAAATGCCATCTCTATATAATTTCATCAAAACCCAATTAATTTTTATCGATCCTGCATTGAAAATGTGCACACTAGATGGCAAAAGGTTTTTGATAACGAGAATTATCATTTATTCCAAATAATTCCATCATTGATTAGAAATAAAAACTCGTGTAAAATTTATGTGTTTAATTAATCATTTAATGTAAGAAAACAACTTACCGGTCCCACTAATACATATTGTCAATAGCCAATAACAGCCAAAAGTCAAATATTGAGATATATTGTTTTTTTCCAGTCAACAATGCCATTAATTTCATTTCACATGTATGGCTTTAATATAATAAAGAATATTGAAAGAGATCTACCAATACATTATATTCGCAGATTAAGTAATTTTACAGGATGAACAAAAAATTATTTTACTGACATCTGCATCTAATGTAACATTTTTTACCATTCCTTTTTGTTTATAAAATCATGGACTACCTGATAAATTCGTTTTATCTGTTATGCGTTCAAACCCTTTTTTAAAGTGTGTTTTTTTTATTATATATATCTGTGTAAAATTTCTTTTTATTTTACATACTATTTAGGGAATAAAGTTAGCGTAGTGGTAATATTATTGCATAATGAACCATTGTAATCGACCAAAAAATTCAAAAACTTAATCCCCCTCAAAATTTGAGGTTTTACTTTTCAGGATACTTAAGTAGCACTTAAAAATCAAATATAAAATTTTATTTTTTAATAATATTAGAAAAAAGTTGAAATTATTTTACTAATATTTGTTTTTTAATTTGTTTTAAATACTTTTGTTTTTCATGAATTTTTATGTCGGCTATCAGTTGAAGATGAAATATTGAGATTAGGTGCTCTGGTTCTAACATCTGGTGAATTTCATCTCATACCAGGAGAGTTGTCTTGGCTCGCTGTGCCATCAGTTCCTTCAGTGGTATCTTCTCAAGAAATGTCTAGTCTCATAGAAGTTGTAAGTTTTATTATTTAATATTTTATAATGCTATTAAGTATGTAATAGTATTTTTGTAATATAACTAATTTGTAATATATACTTTATATGTTTTGGAAGAATTAAATATGTAACCAATTTGACTCTACTGTTGATTCAAAATTATTCTTTATATTGCTTACCATGCAAATATATAAACACACAAACATCAATTTACCTATAGGTTTATAACGTAGATTTAGAGAAAAAACAAAAGTGAGTATCAACTCTGTGCCGCATGAGTTCATCCTGTGGTCAAACAATATGAAGTGCACTCAGCCGCGATGATCCCCAAGTGAGAGCTATCCCAATGATTATATGAGCCTTTCAGTTTCAATATTTTTGACTCCATTTTCAATATTTTTTAGTAATGTCATTTTAGTGATATTTCTTGTTGAAAAACTTATAATACCTGTACAGACAGTAAGTTTATTACAGAGTAGGTGATTGCAGTGTTGAAATATGGAAATGTGAATAAAGATATAAATTTTCCCTCTAGAAACATCACTAAAATTAGTAATCAGAAATGTTGAAATTGGAGCGAGTCATTCTGTCAACTGAAAGGCTCTTTGTAAAGTAAAACAAGAATCCAACAAATCTCATCATTTGTCCCATAACCAACCAGTGTCATTTTGAAATGTACCAGATTCAATAATAATAATAATAATAATGCATTTATTGAAACAATTTTTTTACATATTTTTCTATAATACTCTTGGTTTAAAATACCATTAGAGGATAAGTCCAACAGCGAACAATATAATAATTAATCAGGTTCAATTCTATTTAATTAAAACCCCTTGGGCTATTTGTTCATTAAATGAATTATCACATTTAATAAAAAATACATCTATCCGTGGAATCTTGACTATATGAGTTGGTATCTACGATTTGACTGAAGCATTATCAGGGTTTCTCTGTATCAGTACTACCATCTCTGTATCTTAATTAGGATTCTTGAAATCTGATTTTTCATGATATTTAAAAATAACCATCCACAGTTCAATCTATAGGGAGTTTACTTTTTGCAAGGAGTCAAAGATCCTAGACGGCCTGCTTAACCTGAACACCCCACTCCAATTATTTATTCCTAATAGTCACTGTCCTTATATAGCCAAGTATCTCAACATATACGAATGGGAAGGATATTGTTGAATTGACCTTTGAGCTTCAATCTATTATACAGGTTACTAGCTGAGATTTGAAAGGTGGAATACCTCACTAGGCAGAATTTAAGCAAAGCCCCATGTTACATTAATTTAAGTTGTTTTGTATTGCATTACATTTCATTTATCTTTACATTGAGGTGCTTATTTTGTCTAGAGGTTTATCATTGCTTCTTTCCCATGTTATTATTATATTTTGTCAAAACAATTACTTAACTCTGCTTGTGACGTTTTTAGGAAAGAAGGCAGCAACTTGTAAATCTTCATTTCTTAGATGAAAAAGCAGCTTTGGAAGAAGTTTGGTCTCTTAAATGCACTTGTGATTCTCAGGTATCTTCTATAATCGATGCAATACGATCACCTTGGGAGCAGTTATTTTCTGTTAATTTGGATGTTAAAAATATATCATAAGTTTATTATTATAGGAAGTATAATAGAATTTGATTCTATTAGGAATACATTATTATTAATTTTTTATGTAAATATGGTCAAATTATTTTAAAAAGATTACCTTTAAATTATGATAAGGTAATTCAGGCAATAAATGTTTGTAGTGTTACACTTTTTCCACTTAAGATAAAATGGGCTTTAAATACAATGTTGAAGATTCATAAAACATGGATTATTCTCTTATTTTATTTTGTTTTTATTAGATCATGTTTCATTTATTTCTCACAGTGATAAAATATTATATAATCTTATACGCATAAATGAATGAATTGACCCTTCAGTATATCATAACGAGATATTTCTAGGTCAGAAATTGATCTCTTTTTTTCACAAATAATAGTAAAAATTTGAAGAATAATTGCTATTTTATGATTGTAATTCAAATTGTTTGAGGTAACGTTTCACAAAAATTTAGTAACATTTATTGATTTCTTAGTTCCTTCATCGATAATATGTATAGTAGAGGCCAAGCTATGTATTTCTTTGATTAACTTTATTTCTAAAAACATTGTTTACAAAATTCCTACTAAAATCTATACATTTACTAGTTCCAAATTTGGTCTGTTTACTACTAAGAGGAAATAAGAGGAATTTTAAACACTTTGATGTTATATTAAGGATATTTGTTAATTTTGAAGTTGTAATAGAAAAAATACAAACTCTTACAACAGTTAATCTAATTTTACATTAATTGTACTATAGCCTAACAATCTATATAAACATTATTTACTAACATAATAAATGAATACTTTGCTATATATATATTGTGAAATATCAACTGCATATAGTTGATTTAAAATATTAGTTAATCGACTTAGTCTTCAACCATTGCACTAAAAGACTAGGTGAAAATGTATTCTTAACTGGATGTACTTCCTCTCATATCCAGAAAATATAATCTACTTATAAAAATTAAATTAAATGAAATGGAACAATTATTTTATAGTGCTCTGAATTATATTTATAAGGAGTATTTATTTAAGAAGAGGATACAAGTTTATAGAACTGTGATATAATTATTATATTAAACTTCACTTTTATTTTTAATTGAAATTTTTTCACTTGAAAGTCCATTGTGTTTCTCTTAAAACTTTGCTTTTATGGCATAATGGTTTAATGACTTAATATATTTTTTTTAAATGCGTCATATTTTCTTTTTTATAGAATGCTATGATATTTTTATTGTAAACTTTTTTATAGATTTTTAAAAAGTAAATTACAACCTGTGCATTGAACTTTCACAAAGGTGCAAACAAAATATGGGTCCATATATTAAATGAAAATATAATTTTTTTTTTTTTACCAAGTAGTATTTATGTTTTTATTTTGTTTACTTGAATTACAAATTAAATTCTATTATATTTATTTATAAAAAAATAATATAAATTATATTTATAAAATGATAGAATGTTAAAAATATAATGATTTTTTTGTCTGTTGAAAGATATTAATTAAGAAATTTTTAATTTATTAAAGTTCAATATACAGCAGAATCGATTCAAACCGAAACCTCTCTCCAACAGACACTCCCTTCTCCCCCTCCCCTCATCTGCCACACTATGGCCAACTAGAAGTATAGGAATTCCCTTCTGACAAATTTTCTTCAGCAAGAGATAAATTCACTTCTTTGAACTTTCACTTACAGAATGTTTAAAATTAAGAATAAAATCATTAAATATATTTTATTTTAGGATATAAACACATACATTTAAGTATCTTGAAGTTTTCCTTTTATAATTAATAAAAAAAAATTCTATTCCACTCATGTAATAAACCTGTGAAAGACATATTTTTTATTATTTAAATCCTGAAGCCACTACACCGCCATAATGTGAAAAAAATTATTCTTATATATTTTTCAATGTATACAATACATTTTCTGTTCTTCACTTCTCGGTGGTTTTCATAGAAACCCCTTTATTTGTTTTTAAATCCATTTACACATAATTATTATATTCTAAAAATATTACATATAATACAAAATTGTATTAATAAACTTCTTTCATTCAAATTAATTACTTGTTTTAATACAACTATGTTTGTATTAATGTCTTAACAAGCACTTATATACACCTCTGCTGGCACCCCTCTGTAGGACAAATACTTCATGACCATGACTGTCAGTTGTAGAGAGGTTTGACTTTATAAAAATACAACTTTATGATTATGTGGTTATATATTAAACTATATTGATGTTAAAACTTTATTTTTCAGCTATATTGATGTTATAAAATTAGATTACAGCTATATTGATGTTTGTTAACCATTTACCATATTTTTATACCAGTTACCTTCTGTCTTCTATTTTTTTTTCTTATTATTGATCAATTAATAACAATTACCATCATTATTCTCTATCTATTTAAGTACTTATTGATGAAAACCACATGACAATAAATATTTCCATCTTATGTTAAAAAAATTAAGGGTGCATGATTGAATAAAGTTACCCACAGAATATTGTTTAACTGCTTTTTCAAATGGCAAATGTAATATGATAATATAATTCTAAATATTTGCAATAAGTTATAATTATAAGTTAAAAGTTATAATAATTATATCAATTTAAAAATATTTATTTTCATGTTAACATAGTTTTTAAATATTTTTTACTTTTGTTGAAAAAAAAAACCTGAAAGAGAAACCTGTCAGTGTTTTTGAGTATTTATTTAATTTATTAATAATTAATGCAATAAATACATTATATCTATTGGTAATCCTGAATGTAAAGCTAAGTGGTCTGGATTAGTATTACTTTTCAAATATTCTTAATGCATCACTCATAAAGAAACCACCATGTTTTTTTTGTTTGTTTTTTATACTTATTGTGCACAAATTATTATTATTGACTTCTTTTGTTATATATATTATTTTTGTTGACAATATTGCAAACCTAGCAATAGTTGAATCTAATAATATTTAAATGTTTTGTCCATAACTGAAGTGTATGTATTGTGATATTTGTAATTAAAATATTTTATTAATAGCTCATATTTTTGAATGCATGTGAATAGCTATTTTTTGTTATATATATTTATGTTTTTTAATAAATTTGTTCTATGCAAAGTATTTTTTCTAAATTTTATTATTGATTGATACAGTTTTATTCTAGATTTCCTTAATTTTAAAAATTTTTGTTAATCCTTGGGGAGCAGGAGGAGATGGTCACCTCCACCTCCATTCCTTTCTTAAACTGCTAATCCTCAAAGTTTATTGACTTCAACTATTCAATATCTTCCAGGAAGATATTTTGTAGTTGTCTTGTACCTTTAGCAACCAAACCGTGACTATTTTTTAGGATAAGTAAATTTTTATTCTTATTTGAAATATCTAGTAAGGGAAAGTATTGCAAACATGCAAAATTTTTAACAGAGATAAACGCAGGATCTGAAATTACATCAATAATTACCTCAGGATAATCTTAATATTTTTTAGCTTGAGAAATGATGAGAAGTCTCAGATTAAATTTCAATAAAGAGTAGAACTATTGTAGTAGAAATCTTATTTATATTTTATTAATAATGGTTAAACTATTTAAGGATTTCAAGTATGCAAACTGTAAAATTGAAAACACTTTTTTTCAATTCATTGATCGGAACCATAAAATATTGTATTTGGCTTCTGATATGTGTAATTTTGACATGGGAATAGTTTGGAATAGATATGAAGATTGTATCCCTGTTTTATAATGAAAAATTGTTACTAAGTTCTTATACTGAGAGCTCAGTGCATTGCAAAAAATTAATAAAATTTTTACTTAGGTGAAAATTTAATATTATTATTCAGAAACCTATTCTACATATTTACAAAATTAATTTACTGGCCCAGTTCACATATTTGGGGTCACTGGTGACTCACAATAATACACTTGAGATTGAGGTGAAGAAAAAAATACTGATGGCCAACAGGTGTTACTTTACCCTCCACAAGGAATTCACCTCTCGTCTTCTATCCTGTAAGACCAAGCTTCATCTTTAGAAGACCTTAATCAACCCAATTTTGTTGTTTGTATCAGAAACCTGGACAACTAGTAAGAAAATTGAACAAGATCTCCTAGTTTTCAAAAGGAAAATTCTTCAAAGATTTTTTGGAGGAATTCATATAGAAATTTAATCAATTTTTGATATAGAAGATATTGTTTGAAAAATGAAGCTTGGGGGACTGAGAAGGGCTGGCCATGTTGTTAGGATGGATGAGTAAGCAATCCCTTCTTCTTGTTCGCTCTTCCGTTTTTGAGAAGTAAAACTTGATGTTCAGTTTTCCTTGATCATCGTAAAAGATGTCAGGGGACTATGTGCACCTTTCAGCCTCATCATATTACAAGGTATCTGCCACCTATGATTCACCATTTTGAGAGACGATGTTTATTGTAATCTCTAAACAACCTATTTTTGTGTAGTAAAAGCTAAAATCTGCTTAAAATGGTCCAAATTTTGGTTGGTTACAGAGTCCTGTCTGTTTGGAGTAATCGACTGTTTTGATGTGACAAATGTTTCCTATGATCCCTATATAACTTAGTTCTGAGGGATTCACAGGTAAATCTATGGAGGGTAGGAGAGGAGCTTTTGGGCCAAAGTCTCCAACCCAATGTAAAATTTAACCATTTCTAATGAAAAAAATATTTGAAAATTATCTCCAAAAGTATTACTGGTCGTATGATTACATTTAATAAGATTTCAAGAACCACTTAAACACCATTTCATACAGGTAGATAGTTTCTTTCTTTTTCTTCTGAAGTAATTACCGTCATATGTATAAAAAATGCTTTCAGGCTGAAGCCCCCCAAAATTAATTCCCCTAATGGTGGAGTTAAAGTCTCCAGACAAGCTAGTTTTGAGATACATAAACGAAATTTTGTTTAAAATGACTCAAGGGGTTCATGGCACTATTTCATTAAAACTTTTGAAGGGTGTAAATTTTGAAGGGGTTTTGAATTTGTTAGAGGCAATGAAAAGTTATAACAAGTGGACAAGAAAAAAAAACAGATGAGACCACAGCAAGTGTAATTGTATTTAATAATATTTTTTTCTAATTATTCTTTATCTTGCACTTTTAAGAACATAAGAGCTATAAAATTTCGTGGAAAGGAGATGGGGAAGATCCATCGACCTTGGAAGGGATGGTCACCTCACTTCTACACTACCATATATTTAGTCTTCAGGGCATTGATCTCAAGTTCATGCCAGCTGGCAGGAAAAAAATTCAAGTACTGCAGCATATGAGTAACCAACTATATGCCAACTAGATGGCCATTAGGGCTGAAAGCTTCATTGGGCTATCTTAAGGAAGTACTTCCACACGGTTAAGTCACGATTAGGTCATCCCGGATTACTGGATGTCTCAAATCCTCATGAGTTTTTGAGCAAAGTTCGTTGAGCAGAATGAGAATATTGATACCCTATGCCCCAACTGCAACGTTCCGGAGACGGCCGATCACGTGGACGTCTAATGCACTGCCTATGAGGCTCGAAGGGCTAAGCTCCAGAGAGGCTAAGCTCCTACCACTCTAACATTCTCTGGACCACGGGGGCAGAGTTGGATTGTTGTTACGTTGGCCTCCACGACGCTGATAGGAAACATGGTCGACTTGACCCTCATATCGGAAACGAGCTACGACCACAACGCAATTGCATTTGTCCTGATACATAACGCAAGATGCTCCCACTGTATAGACAGAGGATATGTGACCCGAAGAGAGGACTGAAGCTTCTTCCGGTCAGCGCTGGAGGGAAAGCTAGTGGATGATAAGTGGGACCCGGCGGATGTTGACCATACGGATGACCTTGATTTCAAGATATCCAGCATTAGGGAAGTCATTAGGGATGCCGCGGAAGAATCCCTCCAGCACCGCAAAGTGAGAGAACGACCTGTGCCATGGTGGTCGCCGGCCTTAACCACCCTGATGAGAGAGCTCTACAAGGCCCGGCGGTCATATCAGAAGTGTGGTAACGAAGAGAGGCGGGCAACACTTCGTGAGGAGCACGGGCGGATCTATGAGGGGGGACATTAGGGCTGAAGCTTCCCCTCCCCCAAAATGGTAAAATGTAACCATGTTTCATGTAATCACATTTAAAAGGTCTTTAGGAATCATTTAAACACCATTTCATGTAGATAGTTAGTTTATTTCTCTTTTTCCAAAGTAATTATCGTTATTTTTATGAAAAAAAAAGTTTCGGGCTAAAGCCCCCCCAAATTAAATCCTGGATCCGCTAGTGGCGAGGAGTACAGGTCTAAGGCTAGAGTATACCGGAATGAGGTGCACAGAAACGAAGATTATGGGATGAATTCATCCAGGAAAAGTCAGAAAAGAATCACTGGGGTATCCCATACAGGGTGGTCCTTGGAAAACTAACCTCTCATTGCAGCCCTGAAGCAAGAGGGCACTCAGGCAGCAACTCTGGAGGAAACAGCAAAGATGTTTATTAAAGAGACATATCCCAGGGATGATCCAACACAGGATGATATTGACCATACATTTGTGAGAAGAGCCACGGTATACCCGCCTGGGACGGACCTGTGCCCATCATGGGACATTTGGGACCTCCGTAGTGCCATGGAAAGGCAAAAGACTGGCCGGGCCCCAAGTTTAGATGCGATTGATGCGGCAATGCTCAAGAACAGTATTCCCTATTTAGAGAATAGGCTGCTTGCGATTCTCAACGACTGCGTAGCTAGTGGATACTTTCCAATAAGCTGAAAAACTGCTGATGTTAGACTTTTCTACAAAGGAAGATACAAGAACAAGCAACTTGCCAAATCGTACAGGTCTATTTGTCTCCTCCCTGTAATGAGCAAGGTATTGGAAAACCTAGTGGTCTTGAGCTTTCGGACAGTCTTATCAAGATCGAGCCATCCATGGCAATTTGGATCCACTAAAGGCAAGGGAATTGCTGATGCCATATTGATAGTGCATCATGACGTAGAAGGAAGAGCGGAGACGATTTGGCCGCCGTGGTGGCCTCAAACAGCATAGCCGGTCTGAAAGCAGGAGGTAAACGATGCACCAATTTGGTAGGAATAAGTTGAAGATGGCTGCAACAAAGACCCAGGCAAATCTCTTGGGGGCACGACTGACAGAGCACATCATATTATGTTGAATACAGAAGAAGAAAGGGTTTGTCCAAGTGAGGTTGTCACCTACCTTGGCATACAAATTGGTTGAAAGTTCAACGTGACTCCTCAGCTGGACTATATGAGAACTAGAGTCACAGTGGCCCTAAATGCACTCAGTCGTGTCGGAGGCGCCTTCTGGGGTCTCAGATGCAAAGCTACAATGACTATTTACAAAGGAGTAGTTTTGAGTATTCTGAGATATGAAACCTAAACCTCTCACACCGACAGAAGAATAGGCTATTACTTCACATCGATTCAGAGATTGGCTTTACTTCGGGTCACTAGAGCCTTTAGAACGGTATCTCATGAGGCAGTGCAAGTACTGGCAGAGGAGACACTTCTCTATCTCCTCCTGTAAGAAGATTATTACCTCTTTAAAATGAAAAGAGAAGGTTCGGCGGATCTACCGAAACATTTAAAGATTAGAATTGAAGAAGACCCAAGAAGTTGGAAAAGAATTATCAGATTGGACACAGTTGATCAATGGAATTGGCGCTGGATGGCAACTCCGATGGGGGCTACCCTAAGAAAGTACTTCCCCACGGACATGTCACGATTAGATGCAGGATGGGTCCTCCCGGATTACTGGGTGTCTCAACTCCTCACGGGACATGGGGCTTTCGAGCGAAGCTCGTTAAACACGGGATAAATATTGATCCGCTATACCCCAAATGTAACATTCCAGAGACCGCCAAACATGTGGTCGTCGAATGCACTGCCTATGTGGCACTAAGAGCCTCTAACTCCTGAGAGAGACGGGGATATAATAAGCTGAGAGAATTACCCACATTATAGGGAATTCGTATACGGGTGGAAAGATGCTGTAGGCCCTGCACATTTTGGTCAGGGAAGAAGAGAAAGAAGTTAAGACAAGTTGCAGCTGCTTCGAGGACCGGAGGGCGGGGTGGCCGAATGGGCCAAGGCTATACGGGATTTCCCGGGCCGGAGGGTGAGGGCGGGGAATTTAAAATCCCCCTCCGACACCGGGACGCGAACTCGTACTTATTTTTGTCTCTCAAAACTTCATATATCCGGTTGCCGGGCAACTCGCGGTGCAGTGCACACGTTTTAGCCCATTCGGCCACCCCGCCCACTAAATTGCCCGGCAACCTGATATATCAATCAAATAATATAAAAATAGTCACGAGTTCGCGTCCCGGTGCCGAGGGAGTCTTTTAAAATCCCCGCCCACACTCCCTGGCCCGGGAAAACCCCGTATAGCCTTAACGGCGAGGAAGGGGAGGACCAAAAAAAAAAAAAAATGCTTCGAGGACCAGCTTCAGGTGGAATAAATGGAATAAAAGTGCCGTCACAAGTCTACACCACAGTTCCCGGAATTATAAAATAGTAAATGTGTTAAAGATTTTAATAAAATAGACCTGTACTGACAGCAGTGATTAAGCTAGATTTAATTCTAATTCCAACCTGGATATAATCTATCTGATGAACAATGGTTCTGTCAGTAGAAATTGAATACCTTTATGTATGTATTTGTGACGGAAGAAGTTGCCTTTAGCGATGAGATCTCTGGATACTCTTTAGATTTGATTCTTCACCAGCACGGCTGATTTTGGTATTCACAAATAAACTCTCCTAGGATCTGTTGTCCATCTTCAGATCGCTCAACGTAATGACCCCTATATTCACGACTGACGTTTGATAATATAAGCCAGTTTCATTGAGCTTGCTCTAGCGCTTCTTGTACAAGTATATATGATTCAAATACAATTATCAAGGGTTAAAAACACATCGTACATTAGATGGAAGCCAGGCCTTGTAAAACAACTAATGTACTCTGGAGAGAATAATGATAACAAATTAGTTTATCAGGCCAGAATCATACTATAATTTGAAATAATCACTTATTCATAATTCCATACTGCCTAATATTTTACGAATATAAGTTAGTTTCAATGGCTCTTCAATATTATTCTCTTTAACATAAAAAGTACTTTAAATTTAAAAATTTACTTTTTTTAAAGTATCGATATATTTGCTTGGATACAATAGTTATATATGTACATATTACAACTACCTTTGGACATGAAAAAGAAATAATTTACTTATGAAATTCGATGAATATGGTTATTTTTATTCATTGGCTTATAACATTGTCAGTATCTTTATTTAAATACCTTAAACGTAATAATTCAGGAAGTATATCGATACTTTTCTAAACGATATTTGAATATGTCTCTATGACGTTGATTCAGGCCCAGTTGCATTCAATCTGCTTCTGATAGTGAGTTCGGTTAGTTATTGTCATTAGGAGTACATACATTACAGTAAAGAATAAAAATGTTGGAAGAGTTTAGTGTGAAAGCTATTAAGCGAATACTTTTTATATTCAATTTGTTTTTTGCGGTAAGTTTACTTTGCATTTTATTAGCATTTTTATAATTGTAAATAAAATCTTCGTATGGTGTATGATAAAACAAGTTTTTTCCTGGTTAAGGACGTCAGTTACATGTTGAATGTCATATCAATTATATTGTATTTATATATGTAGTTGTCACATTCATATGTCAGTTGCTAATTCATGAATTTTTAGCATTGCACAATGTTATAAGTATTTTATTTATGCACTGGTTAATTCAGTAGCTTAACTATTAAACATACATGTTTAGTATATTGTTTTTATGACTTGTATCATGATTCATCTTTGCAGCTAACTGGAGTGATTTTGATTCTTGTTGGTGTAGCCATTAAATCTTACTTCACTGAATATGAACTTTTTATTGATGACCGCTATTTCTCAGCTTCCTCATTATTAATAGCTTCAGGGTCTATAATATTCATTGTTTCATTTTTTGGCTGTTGTGGAGCAATAAGAGAAAATAGATGTATGGTTTTGACAGTAAGTAGACAAGAGGTAGTGTGAATTTAATTTAATTATATTTCTTGTATCTTATAATTGAAATGTTTTCAGTTCAGCATCTTATTAACTTTTGTCATGATTCTTGAATTCGCTAGTGGAGTTACTGGATATGTTCTTGCTAATCAAACAGGAAACCTTATTGATACCAAGGTTCATGATACCTTGAAGCAGTATTCCAATGTTACTGATATACAGATATTATGGGATGCTGTTCAGAAAGAGGTAATAACAGTATTAATTCACTTTGATGCCTTATACATTTTATTAATAATTTTAAAATATAAATTAAAGGAGAAAAATTAATAAACATTTAATTATTAATATTTGTTAGTAGTTAAATATTCCTAAGCTTTGTGAAAATGATAGGCTTCAAAACAGGTTTGACTGGCACATTCTTCTCAACTGTTATGCAATTATGTTTGCATTACATTTTAGATATTTTAATTTTGTAATTGTTTTTATTACTATATTTTTAATTTTTGTTATATTTTGAATTTACTAGTAATTAGTTGAATAGTTTGAATCCCATTCTACATTAATGAACTGTTTTAATGAATAATTTATTATTATCAACTTAATTTTTGAATAGTATTTATTTCAAAATTTGAATTTAATAAATATCTGGTTATTCGTTTCATTTTAATTTATTTCTTTTCTAGTTCCAATGTTGTGGAATTGATGGTCCTAAAGATTGGATTGAGGCAGTTGGAAAGCTTCCAGTATCATGTTGTGATGGTCAGGGTGTTCTTCAAAATTTGACCTGTACTACAAATTCAACTCTACTTTACAAAAATTCATGCAGAACAAAACTTACTGAAGTAGTCAAAGACAGTACAACTGTGCTTGGTGGTGTAGCTTTCTCTATTATTGCAGCACAGGTAATTATTCCTTAATTTCTTCCATTTATGATGTTAATAATTTGGAGTTTATAAGATAACAAATTCCATAGTCACTGTTTTATAAATATTATTCTAATGGCTTTGTTAGTCTTGCTGTCTGATTCCTGAGCATAGATATTTCTCATTTATTTGTGCTGGTTCCACTCTCCCCATGAATAAATATTTTGTATTACCAAGCATGCTAGCTGTGTATGAATAAATTGAAATGTTGCTATGTGCTCAGATCTTTTTTATTCTATTTTTTTAACAAGTTATGAATTCTTTAATTATTTCTTTTCATCATAAACACACTTATTTTTTTATTTTCAAAGTATTTATTATCATTTTCTATCTATAGTTAGCAAATCATTTGTATTTCTTTTATAATAATTTAAAATTTCTTAAACTATTAATTTTAATTAAAAAATTGGTTGGTTGAATTTACTTTTCAATATTTTATTCATAATTTTTCTATTGAACAAATGGGATCCTGAGAGAATATTGTTTAATCTGTAGATGCCATGGTGTGTTTTATTTTATTTTTTTTTTTTGTGTTGTTTATAAACTTATCTGTTTCCTGTTTATTTGTTATAAATACCACATTGCTCTGTCAGGTTTTATGATTTATTCATCAATCATCATAATTTAGTCTTCATATATGAAAATAATATAATTTGTTTTTATTGAAATTCTTAAGTAATCATTAGTTTTAGTGTAAAGTTTAATCAAATAAATTATTTGAAATGAGGGGCCCTGAAAATATTTCGTCAGTTTATTGCAAAAAGTTACTAAGTACATTTTCAATGGAGCTGAACTTTAAAGTATGTATTGTGATCTTTGACATTATTTATCAATAAAAAAAACACATTAAGTTTACTAAAATATTGATTAAAATTTACTCAAAGTTATTGTTAAAATGCTATTGTTATATTTGTAATTAATAATTTAGTAGATATTTTATTTTTAAAACACGTTAATAGGAACACTGCAATGCAGATGTTAGGTTTGGTGGGCACACGATTGGAGACCCCAGACGTTGTGATTTGAACTTATATTTGACTAAGTTCGCACCCCAACATTAATATGTTATTGTAGGTTTGCTTATGTTTCTTAGTATTTTTTTTTTTTTTAATGCATCTTAATAATGCAATTGGTCCATTATCTTATATCCAATTATCATAAGTGCCTTGTAAGATCCTAAATTGTATATTATCAAATAAAATAATAAACATTTAAGCTTAAATTGAACCTGCATAGAAACTCAAGTAGGTATGCATCAGGGTTGCAATATAAGGAAGATTGATAAGGTCTTAAATTCTACAAAACAACAGACCGGATGAAAGGCCATTAAAAGTGGGTGTATTTGTATTTGTTGGTCTTTTGAATGCATAAGCATTAGGCTTATCTCAACAAGAGATCTTTTCCCCACAAAAAAATAACTTATGTTAGATTAAATAAATCAATTGTAAAATATACTAAGTTAGTATTTTAATCAATATGTTTTTCATTTTTCAGTTTCTTGGAATAGTGTTTGCTTGCTACTTGGGAAGATATATCCGAAAATCAAACTATGAAACTGTTTAATCATTAAAATCAAAATTATTGAAATGCCTTTATTCTACCGAATATCAGTGATTGATGTATATAATTTTTTTTTGACATCCCTTAAAATTGTCTTACATTTTAGACTGATGATTGTATTGCCATTGTAGTAAGTATTTTGATGTTGATAACCTAAGTGCCTTATAAAATTATATTTGCAGAAATGTTCCTCTTATAACGTATGGTCTCAACATTTTATGACTAAATAAATACTTCCCCTGTACAATTTTCATAACATTTATATATATATCTAGTAAATAAGATTATCTTGTTATAAATGTTGATAAAAATGTTCTCTTTTTTAATTATAATTATTTTATAGTTATTTTTATTGTTTTTTGTTTACTTGAATATTCACTATTTTATACACAAAAAAAAATATATATATGAATAAAATATGTTTTTTTTTAGTTTACAAATGTATATCCATTTAGCAATCACTGGTTACTCGTTATATAGTTTGTTTATAATTATACATTCTAAAAAAACAACAACAACAATATTTTAGTCTCCTTGTGTTCAGATATGTCGTTAACTCCTCATTGATGTCAAACCAGTTGTCATATATTCAATTTAAAATTAAAACCAAAACCTGTGAATTAAGATGTTTGGCATTGTTGAACTTTTTTAAAAATATAGATTGAACAGATTTTTATTTGAAACTAAGTTTCAGCATATATGTTTTTGTTGAGTTTGTAAAATATTATATAAATAAATAAATCTGTTTATGATTGTTATTAAAAATTTAAATTACTAAATTTTTTTTCCTAAGTATGATTAAAATTTAATTTTTGTTCTTTTTTGATCTAATTCGAACTTTTTGTATTATTTATGTTGTGCATTTTAAGTCATACAATTTTTGGAAACAAATGACTTGTCATTGTAATATTCTGAAATAAAAAGTCTATTTTAAATTTATTTTATCATTTATTTTCTTATTAATGTTCATTTATTTTTATTGGTATGAAAATTAAGTGATTAGACCTGGTATAAGAGTTATTTGATTTCTAAACAAATTGATTCAAGTTAAATCACTATTTTTTAACAAGGTAATTGTTTATTAATAGAGACCAGATCATTATGCAATGAAAACCCAAAAATAAGATGTAAAAACAGTTATAGCCAATTTTAGTTTCTTGATTATGAACCTCCTTAACCTAACACAATATTATAAAAGTAATGGTAATGATAAAATTTCCAATTTTCTTTAAAATTTATTCCCAAACATTGTAATTTTACATTCTGTTTTTTATAAATATATTTGTATTTTGAAAAATATATTCAAACTAATCACATTATCAGATATGATTTTTATGTGAATAGTACATGAATTTATAATAATAATTTATTGTGTCTGTTTCATATTTAAAACTGGTTTTATTTTTCCATATAAATAATTACTTAAATAGAAATTAAGATACTGTTTCATTGATATAAACAAATAAAAACATGGTTTTATGAAACATTCTGGTAGGTATGTTGCTTGCAATTATTCACAATTATTAAAAACTAAAATTATTAAGTAAAATCAAATGCTCTGTTTGGTGCATGTATTTATATCCAACTACTTAAAAAAAAGTAGGCAATCAAAACATAGAACTGCACAAAAATCCAGTTCTGTTTATAAATAACCTAAGTCTAAAATTAAATTAATGGGAAATCAATAATGTGAGGCCATGTACTTGTGTCATTTATTTTTCAGCTAGTTTTATATTCATTTCAATGTTATTAAGTAAGGTGGGGATCAGAATGACTTTATTAACCTGTTATCTAGATATACCAGCTTTTTATCTGTTAGATAAAAAGTGAAACTCAAATGTCTCAATCCTTAATATTAAAATTATAAAGTATAAAAAAATGTTGCTAGTTAATGAGGGTACGGGAATAAGATGTATAAAGTTCAGCATAATATTTTTCAGCATCATCCTTGTTGTAAGTAGGAAATATATTGATTATTTTTTTCTTCAATAAATACAAAATAGTTAAGCATGGAAAGGTAATTCTGTTATGTAAGATTTACAATGTTGTTTTCACAGTTTATTCATAATAAAAAACAAATTTATCATTAAATTAACTTAATAATTCATGAATGAAGCAACAATCATATTATTATCATTTAACTTGTTTATTATTTTTTTTCTCTATAAGTCATCAGCATTGAATACAAAACCAAATGGTTTAAAGTCCTACAATGTTCTGAAAATATAAAACAAGTTTATTAGATATTTATTTAAATATTTTTATTGTCCAATTTTTAATTAATCAGTTTACAACAAGTATAAATATTTATTTCCCTCTGAAAGTTGTCATGAACATGGCTGTTATTATTTTTCATAAATTAATTAAATGGGAAAAACTAATTCAATTCTAAGAAAAACAATAATTATAAATTGATATAGGGAAATTGATATGATATTATGCTGCAAATAAATGAATCAGATTACATTTCAAAGAATTATGACTAATCTGATACTGGTTAAAATAAAAACTATAAAAAAAAGAAAAGAAAAATACTAAGAGTTGTTAAATATTAATTTGATTTATAAAATATGGTGTAATCATGATTTTTTTTTTTTAACAAACCCATAAATCATTTGATATCAATGATAAGTTTGAATATTTAAAATGTAAATTATCCAATGTGATGAAAAAATCATTTTTTTTTCCTACATAGTAATATTTTAAATGATTTTAATTCTAAATGAAATCTCAATAATTTTAGCACTAATCAAATTGTTTTCTCAGGAAAAGAGTATTAAAATAATTGTTTTTTTAATCTATCCTTGTATACATTTTAATAAAATGTATGTCAAAAACCTTTAATGTAGTTTCTTTGTGAAAATTTGGTTAAAAAGAAAAACAGTTATTTCTAATAAATACTCCATTTTATAGAAGTATTTTACCTATTGTCCTTGGGACTGATATTATTAAATACCTGTATTCAAATAACATTTGATATTTATCCAACATAAAACAAACATTGTAGTTTTCTGTTATTTACCCTTAATTTACTTCATAATTTTCTATTAATTAAAATATTCAGAATATTTCTTAGAAATAAAATTACTAAATTAACGATGAATGTAATGTAATGATAAATGAAAATGGTCCAATTCTTATTAGCTGCAGCACTAATAAATGAACTAAGAATTCTGATATAAGAAAGATAAACTGCTTTAAGAAAACAATCAATTTACTTTCAAATTAAAGGAAAATAAGAATGAAATAATCTGTAATTTTTTATAAATTTTTTGAAATTATTTTAATATGATTAATTTTTGTAGACTGATTCATGAACCAAAAAATTGTTTTTGGTATTGAAATGTCCATAAAATCATGATATATCACCCTGTAGTAGCTTTCTGAATATTTTCCAATATTCTTTATTGTTATGACAATATAACATTATAATACAAAAATATATTTATTATGTTTCGAGCTCAATTAGTTGGCAACCAAAGAATGAACTCATACGGCACTATGTTGAAACTCACACTAAACCTCTGAGATCATTCACAAATATATATAAATATTTGTCTTTGAATAATATCTTCATATCTATTTTTTTTTTCTTTTACAGCCATTTTTTTTTCTTATTTCACAGCTTTCTCCTACTTCCAGCATCTACCCATCATATTATATATAATTCTCTCGTTTCCGTTATGTCTAGCGTCTTAACTACTTTTTACATAAATACATAATCGCTTCCCACTCACTGTGACAAATTTCTACTATATTTCACCCCTAATTTTTACCACGTTATTGCAGTCTCCGAAACATGGTTTAAACTCTATATCCCTTCCTCCTCCATTTCCTTACGTGATTATACCTTCATCTGCCTTGACCGAATTTCCCAGAATGGCAGAGGTGTTGGTCTCTATGGCTATAATAGCCTGAAATCCCTTATCCTAGATGCCTTCCAATTATCCTCACATTGAATTCCTGTTTGTTAAAATATCTTGCAAACCACATCCTCTCGTATATATGGTGGTATATCACCCTCCTTTGACTCCTTTCGACCCATCCTTTGAATCAAGCTTGTACAATTATATTCCTTTCTATAATAATTTCTGGATACCTTAATACCTACCTCTTCTTCTCCCTCAATCATTTTATAGTTCCATTTGCTCCTACCCATCTACCAGTTGGTCTGGCACATGGCTGGAGCTACATCATCGATTCAGAGCAGAAACTCTTGTCCTGTTCTTAATTACGCTTTCCTTTCCTATCGTCTCATGATCTCATCCAATTATCATACTATTATCTCATCATATTATCGAATTTCAACTTATCAAATCTAAAGTACAACAACCAAATAGAGTTATTAACATTTATTGTGGTCAAGGTTGTCCCAGTTCAAATATCCCTGACAGTATCCGCATTATGCCTCCTTTCCTCATTCTGTCCAAAATCTTTTGGAGGTCTATATAGCAGACTTCTCTTTACCTTTTTCGACAATGTACTCCATTATTCGTGGCAAGATGAAGATGAAGTCTTGCAGGATTTGTTGTACCCTGAAGACATACTGTTCTTTTCTGAGCTGAAAGTTATCTAGTCTTGTATCAACTATTATAGAGAAGACTTTTCTTAGTACACTGAGTTATACAGAATTTAATTTCTATATTATTAGTATATCTTTATTGTTGCCACACTCTTAGTTGTCTCCTTTCTAATGAGTGGGCATGATCACATGTATTGGGCCTTTATTTATTATTATCACGGTATTACAACTCGGTGACGAGTCTTGGCCTCCTCCACCAGCTTCCTCCAGTCATCTCTGTTCTGTGCGGCCATCATCCCGCTCCTGACCCCCAGGACATCCCATGAATCTCTTGCCACACTGTCTGTCCATCTTAGTTTTTGTCTCCCTCTTCTTCTTGTGCCGTAGAGTGGTTATGTCAGGATCATCCTAGGGATTGTTTCATTCTCCATCCTTGCCACATGACTAGCCCATCTCAATCTTCCAAGCTTCATCCTCATAACGACATCCAGTGACCCCAAATACTTAAACTGCGCTACTTTCTCAAAGTTAAAGGGACCATTATTTATGGTCTCGCCTGGTCGAGGAACTTCTCCTGTGGCCATATATTTAGTTTTGCCTTCATTCACTTCTAACCCAAGTGCTCTGGCGGCCTCCAATAAAGCTAAAAATCCCTCTCTGACAGATTGCAATGACCGCATGATGTCCACATCATCCGCATAGGCTAATAGCTGAACCATCCGGTTGTGAATCGTCCCATTAGTTTGCAGACCAGAATCCCTGACTGCCTTCTCAAGTGCCAAGTTAAATAGAAGGCATGCTAACGCATCACCTTGACAAAGTCCTGACCGGGCGATGGGGCCAACACCTCCCTGTGCCAAGATTGGGCCTTTAGTACCCATATTTTAAAAAGTGATTTTGATAAGTCCTGCTCCTTTGTCTAATTTGATCTTAGTGATGGCTAACTGCAGTTCTTCTTCACTCATATAGTCATCTTCAGCTTAAACATCATCTATATACCCCTCCTCTATATTAATCAACAATTGTCTGGCCTTCTTTGTTTTGCTTGGAAATCACACGATCTCTCCTCTTTTTTTTATGTTTTGTTCTCTCCTTCCTCACCTTTTAGGCTATACAGGGGGTTTTCCGGACCAGAGGATGAGGGCAGGGGATTAATGCCAAGTTAAAAGACTTCCTTGGAACTAGGACACAAAGTCGCAATTATTTTATCGTTTATAACTTCGGTTATCATGTTGCTGGGTAATGCGCGGTGCTGTGCACACATGCGTTAAGCCGCTTGGTCACTATGTCCCCAGAATCACACGATCTATCAAAACTTTGTTCACTCTTGTCTAAATCAATTATATCCAGAAAAAAATTATTCATATATGAAGCACCATATCCCTATACATTAAATAACCTGATTTACAATGTGAGAAACTAATAATAAATATTTATTATTTAAATTAGAAAACAACTATGGACATGGAAGTTAACATATTATATTTATTTATTAATTTTGAAACCAACAAAAACAGTCAAGTATTTTAGCTTGGTATTAATAAAATACATTAATTATTAAACATTCTATTTTTAAAATGTATAACTATTTTTTAAATATTGTTTTTGCTGGAACAGATAACAGGAATGTCACTAATAATTATTGGGACCACTATCAATTCAATTTATGAAGAATTCTCTACATTTCTAGCAACTATATTTTTTTCTCCTGCTACTATACTAGTCTCAGTGGGATTTACAATTTTTGGAATAGCCTGTCTTGGATGCTTAGGAGCCATAAGAGAAAGTTCATTCATGATAATGACAGTAAGTTGAAGTTATGTATTTAAATAATTTTGACAATAAATAATGTAATATTTTTTTAATTGTGATTTGCAGTTTGGAACTCTTCTTGGAATGATTTCTATATTGCAACTATGTGCAGGATTATCAAATAATATTCTAATGTCCACTATAGATATGGAAATTGTTCATAATCTTAACAAAACTTTGTTTTCCTATTCGAAGAATAAAGAATCACAGGTGGTTTTTGATAATTTACAGCGTGAGGTAAGTTAGTAACTTTGTTTCATTGAAAACTAATGTGTCTAAGTTAAGTCAAATGACTAATCATCCTCTTGAAAGCCTTCGATGTATACATCCATACAAAAAATATTGTGATTTCTTACTTAATGTATAATAATTAATTCTTAGTTAAATATAAATATATATATATATATATATATATATATATATATATATGCTTACACCAATTTAATTCTATATAAATTGTAAATAATAGTAAAAATAAACAGTTATAATAATAAATCCCTTTACAAATTGGATCCAGTTTGTGGTTTTAAAAAGAAAATTAAAAGCGAAAAATAAATAAAAAAGAGAAAAGATAATCATTTTATTGGACATTCGCACTTATACAGGAAGGATTTTTTATGTTTGAACATTTATAACATTTGTGTTCTAACATTCGGATGTTCCTAAATAGAATAGAAGTTATAATTTTATATGAGAAGCAATTGATCGGGAGAGTAGAAGGGGAGGGGTGCGGTAAAATAAATAGTATTTTAATTTTAGTGACAGTCCCTCCTCCCCTCCTTGACCAACTCCTTCTCATATTATAATCACATTCAACCATCTCTACACCATTATAATTTTATAATAAAAATGACAAATAAAAAAATTATGGATAAAATACAGGACAATATTTGTGAATATTAGAAAATAGCATATTCCTGAGGTAAAACATTGAATATGTTAGAGATTAACATGATTAATAAAAGAATTTACCCCAGGAGGAAGATTAATTTTTTTTGCATACCTTTAAGAAAAGATAATCAATGTTATGCATAATGAATCATAAAGTATAGAATATATAAAAATCAAGTTTGTTATTATAAGAATATTTTTTTTATTAATGGTGAATTATGATAAAATATTGTATATATATATTACAGCATTAATGTGTTTTAGCTGCATTGCTGCGGACTGTCAGGTCCAAGGGATTGGCAGTTAATTTATAACAATGGCAACATTCCTAAATCATGCTGTGCTTTTGAAGAATACGATTCATGCAAGAGCACATTTAATATTGGTTGTCACTTTATTTTAAAAACCATTGTAACGGAAAGCAGTAAAATATTAACAATCAGTGCTTTTTTGCTGGCATTCACTCAGGTTAGTTTATAATATATTTATAACAATCATAGATATTCAATTTAGCAACAGATGATATTACATGAAAGTGGATAATCATATTCCAAAACATAACACAAATTCACCTTCAATAAATTTATTGCTGTTATAGGGACTAGTTCGACTAAATCAATAAACTTGAGATGGAAGTTGACGTGAATGTGGAGGTCTTTTACCTTCATTCCTTATCTTGCATATTGATCATAGCTAATCATTAATTATCACAAAGCTGTTGGTTAGAAAACACAACCCTTTCCTTGGCTAGATCCTGTAGTGATTGTTCGTATTAAAGGAATTGGCACCACATTTCATTAGTTCCCTATGGCATTTAATAGCTTTACTACTACATTACAGTTTTAAACATCAGCCTTATGCTTATTGAAAGCACTAATAAAAATCAGTATAGTAGGTTTGAAAAGTCAGAATACAATTTTCAAAAAATACACAACTTTGGTTTGTGTCGTTCTGACAGCAGAGACACTCATCATTATTGCCTTGATTTAAACCCAAGGCCAATTATTTAATGTACAATATAAGTAGGATAAATAATTTTCTTTTAGGAAGAATATGAAGTGGATAAATTTTAAATAGTAAAAGAAAGAGAAAAACATCAAAGAGACTAAATTGCAGTATATCTATAAGTTAATTTATATGAATACTAAAAATTTTTCAAAGTCAACATAAAAGTGAAAAAAATTGATAAATAATAAAAGCAATATAATTATTTTATTTGACAATTGCTTCTGTTTATAGGTATTTGGAATGCTTTTCTCATTTTATCTAGCAAAAATGTTAAAAGCACAGAAACTAGCAAGGGAGTACCGCCGATGGGCCATACGAAGTCAGCTACTCAATACTGTCGCTTACGATCCTTACTGCTTTGATATTAAAGAACCTCAATACCAATTAGGGAAACAACAATATTTAAGTTAATTGTAAATCTTCTTAACGAAATGAAATACAAATCTCAACACCAAAGAACTCGCTTATGAATTTATTTTCAGTAACCTGACGTTTTTCTGGTATATTAGTGAATCTAGAATAATCAACCAAGTTTATCGGTTCCAATATTTAAAAACAAATGAAACACTATTTTGTTTTGAGATTTATGGACCATTTTATTAATCAATGTGTATTATTTACTCATATAAAAATTTGATGGTTATATATTCCATATTATTAAAAAAAATATTAAAGAAAGAAAATTTGCATTTGTCTATTTGACTTCCATAACCTCCATCCAATGTATACTCATGTCAGGTTTCTTATAATTTTTAATTAAAGATAAATTAATCATTACATTAAACAACTAAAATAAAATTTGAAAGAATTTAATTTACCTTTTAGCTATAAGTATAGTTTATGCACATAATCCGAAAAACAGTCTTTATCTACTTCATAACTCTGTGATAAGGTAAAAGAAAAAAAATGTACTTCTTTAATATTATTGTTATGTATCAATTATTAATCAGTTGAAAAATCCTCTAAATTTTTAAAACCATCTGTCCCAATGAGATCTTAATATTAATAATATTATTAATATTAAACCGAACAAATAGATATTGCTAGATTATTTGGGCTATGCACCAAATGAGGTAATAAACCAATTGTGGTAATTTTGTTATAAAAAAGACAGTGACAAATAACATTCATTTGTATGCTTACCAAGTTCATAATTTTTGTAATATATATATTTTATTTGTAACACATGATATACATACATACATTTATATATAATGTATTGTACAAGGATACAGACCCACAGCAATTGTAAAAAAATAAATCACATAAAAAAAAGTTCATAATTTTAAGGTTTATTTTATTTGATTCACTTTCTCAGAAATCTATATCCTAGAAAAACCTTCAAGAGAATGCAGACAGACAATTTTATTTATTTAAACATTTTCTAAATACCCTGAAAGTATCGAGCAGGACTGCTTTTTGAGCTATTTTTAAGTATGTTAAGTCATGTCTAAGATCTTTGGTGCCTTCTATTGTACATATAAATACTAGAGCATTTGAAGATATTGTGGGAATTGTTTTTTACTTTTTCTAGATAGTATAATTTTTTTAACTCCAAAACTAGTTCTCGGTATTTTTTATTTTCGTCCCTGGGGGTTACAATGTTGGAATCACTGGTTACTGCTACATCTATGATAATAAGTTTTATTTGTTTTGAGCACAACCAAAATATTCAGCTGGTTATTCTTTCATGTCAATAAACTTTTACACTGCTGTTTTCTATAAGTTTTTCTACGGTTTAGAGATAAAAGGGTAGTTCATTGCCAATAAACTTAAGGCTTTTCACACATTTAGAAGATATATTTCGGCAACATTATTATGTCTCATTAAGTATTCTGTCCCTGCAAGTCTCACATCTATTGGTTACATGCTGGATAGATTCAAACATAGAACAAAGGTAACATTTAACTGCAACCAAGTTTTCTTTCAATATATTTTTTCTATAAACTCTGGTTGTGATAACTTGGTTCTGAATTGCTATGGAAAAATCCTTCAATCTCAATCCTTCAATAGATTTGTTCCATCTATAACTATTTTACTGAGAAATCAATATCAACCTCAGACTAATGTAATTGACGGTAAAATCTCCCATGCAACTCCTTCATCTTCCAAATAGTCTTATATTGATTGTCATTTCTCAATTCTGGTCGAATTGGATTGCTATAATCAAGGGAAATGTAATCTTCATCCAATTATATCAGAGTGAGGTTTGTTATTATTATTATTTTTACTGCATTAGCAGATTAACAATAACTTTTTTCATTGACCACTATAGTTTACTTACCTTATGAAGAAAAAGCTCAGTATTCATCACCATCATTCTTGTTCTTTTACAAGCTTACTGTTTGATATTATGCTCTATTTTTTATTTTACAATATTGTAAGAATAGAAGTTTAAAGTCAACTGATAAGATAATCTAATTTATAATATGTGTTAAAAAATTGAGGAAAAAGTATTTGGATATTATGGAATAGCAAATAGAGAATTGTATCCATTAAAAAGTTTATGATTTTAAATGATCATATCAAGATAGATTTTGTGAGAGTGTATACAGAGGCCAAAAAAAGTATTCGTACACTATATGTTTTAGCCAAAAATCTTGGCTAAGTAAAGTAACTATAGATAACAATTAAAAACTCCATTTTACATTAATTGTACAAAAAAGTAAAATTTTATAGCTCATAGTGAAAAATATCAAAATTTTCAAATATGAAGCGCAGAAAAAAATATTCCTACATTTAACTAATCCAAAGAAAATATAATAAATAACAATCTCAATTAATTTTAATATTTTGTAGGATCCCCTTTCATGTTTATCACAGTATTAAGTCTCCTTGCCATCGGTTCCATGAGCCTCTTGGTTTCTGGTCCAGTTTCTTCTCAGGCTTTTTTAAGATTATTTATTAAGTCATTCCGAGAGGAAAAAGAATATTTTCGGATTTGTAATTCCAGCAGCCCCCATAAATTTTCAATTGGATTAAGATCAGGCGATCGTGGGGGTATTTTGAGAATTTTTCAAACATTATATAGCAACCATTGCTTGGTTTTATGGCCTTGTGGTTGGGATTGTTATCCTACTGAAATATATATGTATTCTCCAGTCCTGACTTTCTTACACTTTTATTTAAATTGAATCACAACACGTTCACATATTTGTCAGCAATCATAATATAATCCCGTCTATAAAGGCTAGTTCACCAACTCCTTTGCCACCATGACACTGTCCCTTCCGTTCTTCAGTGTGGGTTGTAGATTTTGGGGTTCATATGCCTTTCGTTTTTTCCAAACATATTTTTTCCGTCAGTTCCTAATATATTATACTTGCTTTCATCCATAAACAAAACATTTTTCCAAAACGTGTTGGGTCTATTAACTTATTCTCGGACAAACTCAAATATTATTTTTCTGTTTATTTCGTTTGTAAAAGGTATTTTTCTTACCGCTCTACCTTTATAGCCAGATTCACGTAGCGAATTCCTCATTGTTTGGGGTATTACAGATTTCCCATAAGCTGACGTGATGTGAGCCGAAACCTCTTGAACACTTCATTTGGGATTTTTTGTCACTTTAAGCACAATTCACTTGATTCTCGCACTGTCAACAAGAGCTTTCTCTCTGGGCAGGATTTATTGTTCACTGGTCCGGATTTAAATTTTTTTTATAATGTACTCTACTATCGTATGAGGTAGTCTGGACTTTTTTCCAATATACCACAAACTTAAAATCTGTAGAAAATGTTTTACAATGTCATCTTTAAGATGAGAACTAAATTCTTTGGACGTATGACCCATTGCCGAAGAAATATTTTTTAGTAATGAACTAAACAAACAATTTCTCATGCAGTTTTATTCATTAATCCTCTAGAGTAACGTATAAATAGTACATTATAAATAGTATGTTTAAACAATATTTTAATAACATAAATTATTGTATCATTAATATTTGCTCTAGTGTGCGAATACTTTTTTTATTTACAAATTATTGAAATATTAATGTTATAAAAGTTGTATCAGATTTTAAATTTTAGCTTTACGTAAAATAAAGTTTGTAATTGATATCTGCCGTTATTTCAAGTTAAAAAATTATAGTGAACCTTTTTGGCCAAAAAACAGGGTGTACGAATACATTTCCTGCCCACTGCATGTTGAATGAATAAAGTAATATCTCTTAATTTTATAAATATAAATAATTTTATAAACACAAACTACCCATCTTAATCTAAACACACTAAGCACTAGCAATTCAAGCTATTAAAGATGGAAAGGGAAAAGAAGAATGTTAAAAACAACAAAGCTTTAGAAAAATGACTTAGCATCACCAAAAAAAAAAAATGAGATATTTCTATCATAAGGCATAGAACTTTGTTGAAAAGTAAGGCTGAGTTGGTGAACAACTCCATTTTAAGATAAAAGGAGGCTTTAATGTAGGAAAAATAGGAAGGACATAATTTAATATTGCAATATTGGTGAAAAAGTATGCACTAACTTGATATTAATCTTAAAGGCCTGGAGCAATTATCATCAATCTCAAATTATAACATTTTAATTTATAAATTAATATATTTTCCTCACAAATCTGATCATTTTTATAAAATAAACCACTCATTTATGTTGTGATTTTTATCTAGCAATCACTTTAATTTAGCTCCTATAATGATTATATCCTGTTTAGACACAATAGCAACTGAAAATCAAATTATCCCTTGCATACCATGCCCTCAAAGGATTATTAAAGAGGTATTGTACAATATTGGTAGGCAACGTACATGCTGTATGACCGGGAGCCCTTTTCTTGTGAAATAAAAAATTGAAAAGTTTGTTGGAGGAATATCTGTGAATGACGTTACTACTTATTTTGTTAATTTCCCTTTATTGTAATTTCAATTTATCTCCCTGAAGGGGCAATTAATTTTGTTTGGTTAATATATGGAGCAATACTGTGACATACAATTGTTTGCAGAGGGCAGGTCTCAGGTCTGTAGATATGTTGTGAATATGTTGCGTCTCTCCTAGGCCGCCGCTGTCCCCTGCACACGTCCGTGCCGTCCTCACTGTGTAGCTGAAAGGGCTTTTGTTTCCTCCTGGTGTTAGCTGCAAAGCTGTTGCTCGGTAAGGACGGCAAAGCGAGTGAACGTTCCAGTTAGTCGCTGGCTGTCTTTCCTGAAGTCGGCTGAGCAAGTGAGCAGGGAGCTGTGTGCTTAGTCAAGCATCTGTACTTTGCTCGTAGATAAGGCAGTCCCTACTCGAGAGGAAGGAGGACAGGATAAGATCAGAGGGGAGGGAGCCCGTATTATTTATAAAAGGGAATAATAAATACAAGGTATATAATACCAAATAATATATACACAAACTATGGATGTAAATCCAACAGATATATTATTAATCTGGGTATATTCACTAGTTAAAAAAAAAACGATGGTCATTAGGTAAAATAAATATTCACTTTGAAATTGTTTTAATTAAACCAGCATTACAGTTATAACCCAAAAGAAAAATTAAACAGATTGATAACCACTTTCAGGAAAACTATTGCTTCATCTCTAGATTACCTTGTTTAAAATTTCCAAGGTAATAAAAGATATACTAATTAATACTACTAATACTAATTAAAAGGAAGTTCAGACAGAATGCTTCTAAGCAAGGGAGAAGAAATGAAAATAATATATAAAATGAATAACAATATATTTTAAAATATGTTAAATCAAAAAAAATTTTCAGCTTTCTCTAAAATTACAGTACCCTCGTTGGCATATTCTCCTCCAGGAAGATAAGGCAGTGTGAATTCTCTATAAGCAACACAAACCCTCCTTTCTTTTATATCATCCCTGTAAACTTGGTGTTCCCAGCCATACCTAAGAAATAAACAGTTAATATGATCATTTCATCCAAACTACTCTTCATATTTTTAACAAATAAATTTTACTTTATAGATCAAATGCCATTGTGTGCAGAAACGCAATACATATTTACACGACAGATCAGAAATCAATTGAAATAAACATAAGATTCAGCAATAAAAGAGAAGGATTTAAAAAATAAATTATTTATCAAAAATTATTTTTTCATCTAAATAATAAATTAAAAGAATATCCATTTGGTTTACAAAATGGAAAGGAAAAAGAAGAAAAATTGTTAACACTCTGTTTACCAAATAGGAGTTTTGCATGACATGTATTGCCTTAATACATACTTCCTAAATGCATTGTTTGATGGCTTAGATAGGTTAGATCGATTGGCCTCAAATACTTTCTCTTACAGAATAACAGTTTGTAACTTTCTTTTTTTAGAGTACATAAAACAAAATTGTTTGAGGTTAATTCACCCAGGATTCAAGCCCTCTATCTATCAATGCATATGAGTGAAGCAATATCCATCAGTATGTTATGAGAGATTTGTTATTATGTATCAACATATTTTATTTTAAAATATGCTAAATCGAAAAAAAGTATTCAGCTCTCTTGAAAATTACAATACCTTAATTGGTATATTCTCCTCCAGGAAGATAAGACAGTGTAAATTCTCTCAATCGATATATTATGAGAGATCACGTAAAAATACATTGTAATGGAGGAACTTTGATGAACATATTTTTAGAAAATGGTTTGTTTTGTTTAAATTTTATTGTATTTGAAACTATCCCATTTCACTGCAGAAACTTTATAACATACCCAACAAAACTGTTTTGGGGTGTGTCTCATAAGGCAGTGCATTACCACAAATGTCTATGAAATTCCTGTGAGAAAATATGTAGACCTACACACATAAGAGAGAAGGCTAAGCAGGTCTGACATGAAATTTCTAAATGAGAATTGAAGAGAACCCAAGCAAATAGAAAACTATCATATGAGAGGATAAAAACAACGACCAACGACGGTGGATGACAATCTTGAAAGGGATCACCATCAGAAAACAGTCATAAAAATCTGACGGTTGAGCATGATTTCGGCCCAATCGCCTCCCTGCACAACTGTTGGCCTTGGAACAGTACTTCTTCACATAGTACTGAACCCAAGATCCTTCATAGGTTGTAGTGATACAGTTTTTTTCTTCTAATATATGAGATATGCTATATACTTACTGTGTATTATACTATTAGTATAATATACTATATGTTATAAAGATTAAGAAATCATATTTATTGTATTGTATCAGATTTACTACATAATAGAGCACAACAGTACAGTTTCACATGTTCAAAAGGAATACGACAATAATATGTACATAATTAATAAAAACCAATATTAGAAATTACCTAGCTTCTTGCGTCAGGATGATCAGAGATCTAGCTGGCATAGGAATTCTAATGGCAACATCTGGTAAACTCTTCACAAACTTTATAGGAGCTAAATCTATATTGTACTTATTTCCATGATATGGTGTGAGTGTCAATACAGAATCAGATAACAGATTAACTGTTACTATCCTTTCTCCCCAAATCCAGCAGTCATCAATATGTGGATCTATAGAAGCTCCCCGATCAGGGTTGTATTCAAGAGAACATTGTTCTACAGTTCGATAACCTTCAAGTAAAGGAACTTCTTTAAATTTGTCCTGCACAAATTTTGTTGAAACTGGAAATCCTTTAAAATCACCACATTTTAATTTTCTTTTCTTGAAATTGCATTTAGGGCCGAAATTCTGCAACATAAAAATTTAAGAACCATTGAAAGTTTATGCTGCAAAAAATTATAAAGATCATATAATTATTATCTGAAATTAACAAGCTAGTAATACTTTTTACTTTTAGAAAATCGGGAATGAATTAGTGATTTAACTATTTTTAAAAAAGTTATTTAAACACAACAAACGGTTGTTTGTTGAATATATAAAAAGAAAGTTATAAAACAAAATATTTTCAAATTATTTCCTAAACAATCACCTGTTATTAACGAGTCCAAGGATCTCAACCAAAAATTCACTGAAATTAACTCAGGAAAAAATTCTGTGGTTATTGAGTTATTACTTAGTATTCGATTGAGTTCCATATCAGATTAATTCAAAATGAATAAATTTTCCAAATAAAAAATGAAAAGTATACTTTGCCCTACATATTTATTGTTTGGTAAAGCTATTAACTTTTTTTAAAACACCTACCTTTAAAAATAAATATAATTGTAATATATCATTACTTGCTTTCTTCTTCCACTTTGAGAACAGTCCCACGGTAATGCATCTAAAGCTTTTAGTAGGTCAGCTTCATCTGCTTCAGATAAAAAATCTTCACCAACATAAATTCCACTGACAGCTATAGGTTCTCCAGTATGAAACGGATGAGCATTTATTTCAGAACTGAGACCAGGGTAACACATCTTGCAATAAATGCAATAAAAGTATATAGAATAAGCCTGAAAATAAACACAGACTAACGTAACATTATTAGTAATGAAATCAATAAAAAAAAAAAAAAAATTATTTAAAATCAAATTAGTGAATTCAAAGAACCCATCAAAATATACAATCAATAAGTTGTAATTATTAAGTTTTATTATAAACATTATAGTTATCCATTTTTAGTGAATTGACTGTGACAGTTGAGATAAAGTAAAAAAAAAATGTATTAGTGCAGATTAACATCTTGTCAAACCATATAAAAATATAACATGATAGTTGATGTCCTTATAAAAATGGGTATAGGTGAGAAAAATAATATAAAATGGATTTATCCTTAAACAGTACCAATGTGGAAATCTTTTAATTAAATATAATTAACTTACCTTCAATTTTTTTTTAAGGCAAAAAATAAAGGTTAAAAAATTAAAATCTGTTACAAAGACAGTGCTGAATTAACGTCAACTGGATGGAGGTATCATTTAAATAATCTACGATTCCTAGCAATATTAAAGGAATAAAAAATATAAAATGGGTCTGGAATATTCTAATTCTTTTCATAAGTTTTCTAAATAAAATTTTTATTCCTATTTTTATAAAATAACAATTGCTAAAAAATCTGACATTTTTGTACAAATAATATGCATACAACTTATATTTAAAAACATAAATGACCTGACTCTCCATGCTGACCCATTAAGAATAACTAAACTTTGTAATTCATTTACTCTTGAGATATGACAGTACCTTTTCATGGATTGATTTATTTTTACAAGGAATGTCAAATTGTTGTTCACATTTCAAGCAAGTTCGAATACCCTTGCAACCGCATAGATTCGACCTATCCGTTTCCATTCTATTGTGGAGATATGAGAGGACTTTAAAAACAAATCAAATTGAAATACAATAAATAATTACTTATTAGGGCTACTTAAAATAACATTTATCAAGAATGATTATAACCTATCAGAGAGGTAAACATAGGTTATCAAAACATGCTTTCTATTACTAGATAGCAGCACTGGCATCATAATTTAGTTTTTAATGTCCATAATTGAGTTTCCTGATTCATTCAGATAGGTTCCCATCTTTTTGAAAATTATTAATAGTTTAGATACTAGACCTATCTCGTTCATTTATTACCGGGCTCTAAATTTAGTCATTTTTTTTTTTAATTTAATCGATATGCTGATTAGTTGTAAGTTAACGATTGAAAATAAAGTTCATTCTGTGTTCAAAATGGCGGGCTGTTAATCCTTGTATTGTTTTAATTCTTTTGTTCTTTTTTTGTTCTGTTTGTGTGTTTAATTAACGTTTTTGATAATGGAGATTGAAAGAGTTGATACTTCTGACTACAACGACGAAAATGCTTCTTTAAAATCTAGTGTTAAGTGAGTATTGCCAGTCAATTGTATTTTCTTTCTACAAATCTCTTAAATCCTTTAATTAATGGAGAAGCTTTGATCCTAGTTAACTGTATTCCTCCTTCAAAGCTTCACCTTTGTGAATATTACATTTGTTTAATTTTAATACCTTTTTATTTATTTATTTATTTTATCCTTTGCCTTATTATTAGTTCATTTTTCAAGGTCATAAGCACTTAACTGTTTTATAGGTGTTAATAGATCGGACCTAAAATAAATATATTACTTTTTAGGTTTACAGAATACTTCCAGATGACAATTAAACCACTTTTGGAAGAAGGAAAAGATGGGGAGCTTATTGAATGGCTAAAGGATATTGGTTTATTACGGCGATCGCAAAAGTGTTCGAACCCTGAGTGCCAAGGATCCAAGCCTATGGAATGGAAGAGAGCTAGGATTGTTGACAAGTATCACTGGTCATGCCCCTTGTGCAAAAAAAAGGTTTCTATTAGAATGGATTCTCCACTGGCAGATTTTCATTGTAGTTTTAAAATAATTCTGGACACAATAATCGCTTGGTGTGATGGTATTTCTCTTGAAGAATATACTAAAGAGAATAAAATGGTTAAAGGTGTAATTGCCAAAAGAATATATTCTACCTGTACAACTGTTGCTGATTGGTATATGCAAACCCATCCTGATTTATCTTATCTTGGTGGGGAAAACTCTGTTGTCCTTGTTGACACTTTTCCTGATGGTTGTATGACAACAGTTCCCCACAACAATAACTATAGCAAGAGAATACTTTGTATGGCTGATACTTCTCACATGCCTGCTCGAATTTGGACCCAAGTTATTGATAAAAGCCTGGTTAGTAAATTTTTTTATAGTTAGCATAAAATTATTTTGTTTATTTATATAATTGTACTGTGATTTGTTAAAACAGATTTTTTCTTATACAATTTGTACAATATTTGACTGCAAATATTTCTATTACATTTTAGTAAGAGTCGGAACATTAAATAATATTAATTAGAAAATGGCAGTTGTAAAGGTTGTCAGTACCATCAAAATTTAATGTTTTAAATTCTGTTATATGCCCCCAAAAAACATTGAAATACCATAAATTGTTTCTTAATTCTTCAATTTTAAAAGCATTTATAAGGTTACAAGATTGGTGGAAAATTTTTGTTTAATTCCATTAATGGCATATACATTCAATTGCTTATTATATTTAGCCCTCAATTGTTACAATAAGAACACTTCCTGTGCTATATTATTCAGATTTATCACTTGTCATGGTAGGAAGCATATCCACAATACACCCCTATGGTATTTAATGACATGGAGAGTTTTATGATTCTATGTTCATTCATTTCCTACTTAATGAATTCAATAGTTCCAAACATTGTTCAATCCTAACTTGACTCTATCTTTTAAATCTTGTCACACATTTTTATTTACTTTACAATTAATATGTATATAGAATCTATTTTTAAGAAAATTTAATAATTTTATTTAAATATAATTTAAATTTGAATACATTTTTCATAGTTTTGCATTTCTTAATCAGGTATTTACCTGGATATAAGTTCAAGTAAGTATGATATCCTTTTGGAATAAAAATTTCAGATCATTATTTAATTAATGCATGGTTATTTTATTCTGGCCATTTTTGCATTTTATGCAATTTTATTTGTATTTGTATGCACCATTAATTTATGCTTTTAATGTTTACCTTTAAATCAATAATGTTGGCCTTAAAGTATTAGTTGTAATGTGTACTTTAGTGTGTCTTTTATAATTATCATAAATATTATTTTTTATATATTTATCACTGTGAAGGCATTATTTCTATTTGAAGTTTTTGTTTTAATTTAAATAATTTTATTGCATAACTGTCCATAAATTAGTTTTGATAAACCAGGCCCAGCGTTAATGTAACCCTTTCTGTACCATAATAATTTCAATTAGCCTCACTTATTTATTACCTCGACTTAGTCACCATCTTGTTATTGCACAAATTGAGTTGAAAATCTCTTATTTCATAAAAATGGTTTTAGATATTTCTGAAACACTACAAACTCTTGATAAAATAAGAAAAAACTTAACATGGTGGTGTATGAAAGGTTAATGTTATTGTATTACATCTAAGTACTTTGATTTAAACTATTTTTATTTTATGAAAAGAATTTAAAAAAAAAAAAAAAAAGGAGAAATAGAAAAATTTGTTAAAAGCTTGAACACTGGCACGTATGTATTATGTATTATTGTAATATGTGGTACTTAACATCAGCTCTCATATATTTGTCTCCAAACACCAACAGAACAGGAGATGGATCGACCATAAACTCTGTGAAAATAGGTTTGGTTTATGTTTAAAGAGCTCAATTTGTATAACAAATCAGAATTTGTTATGAATAATTTAGACAAGCTATAAGTATCTCCATATTAGTGATTTTTATTGCAGTTGATTATATTGATTTATGGTTATTTTATTGGCAATTTTCATTATGCTCATCATGGGTATGTTCAAATGTGTCCAGTCCAGTATTAAGTCTCTTCAAAATGACAATTTATAAATAACATTTTGCCAGCATGCAATTCTGTGGCTTTTGACTTATATGACAATTCTAAATACCAACAAATGAGACTCAGAATTTTGAAAGTCCCTTTTTTTAAAAAATAAAGGTATTTAAATACTTAGCTATCGGTGCACAGAAATTATATATTTTAATTTATTATAGTAGGCATATTTCATCAACAAAAGTTATTGAATTAAAAGTCCGTTAAACTATTTGATTTATTCTGTTACTTATAATTTATTTAGCTCATGGATATTCTTTTTTTGCTAACTAGGGGAGCACCCCCTGTCCGCCTAACAGTGGACCAATCCCCATTTTACAAATTATACAACTGTTCATTTAATTGTACTACCCGTTGCTCGAATTGTTTAACTTTAATTTACATGTATTCTGTAGTTCTGATTGTATTATTTTTTATAAACATAAAATGAACAGAACAAAACCAAAGTTGAGAAAAATTTTTAATTTCTTTAAAAATCTATATTATTAAGTAATTATAATTATTCTTATTTCCAATTTGTAACCATAATAAGGGAGAAATAATTCTGGGAATAAAAAGTATGGTATCTTCGTTGCGGTCTGTCCCGCTTTGTATATGAAAATAAAATATGATATGGTGACTAAAAACTTTTTTATATAATAGAGATCTCGAATATGAATTCACTTTTAATAATCAATTATTAATGTATGAGATATTTAGCAATTGGTGATGTCACTCCTTGTTAATGTCACTTTTTATTTTAAATTTGAATCTTGATATTTCGTTTATCACAGGTTTGATAATTTTATAAAGCTTTCATTTTGTACATCTCTTTTGCCATCTGTATTAGTGTTAAAGCAGGTAAGTGCTATCTATTGACCGTTTAACTGGTTTCATTATCCTGTAGTTGTTTAGTGTAATGCGATGTTTTGTGGTTTCATAAATAAATATATTGTTTATATTTTCTCAATAAATAATTTGCATGTACTCTCATACACATCTGCTTATAAACGTGTTTTTACTGTCCATATTTTTTCATAGGATTATAACAGACTTCGTCAACTCGTGAATGATCATGTTAGAGCAGGCTCAACTATTGTTACCAGCCCTGGTCTGTATCCTCTTCTTCAGGGCGCTAAAGGAATGGCTGAAGTGATCAGTGTTGAAGCTCTTATGGCTTTGGATCCTGTGGATTATCAGCGTTCACTTAAAAATCTTGGTAAGTTATTTTATTTTCTATGATTTATTTCACTTCATGTTTTTTTTTTCTATTATGTCATGATTGTTTTGACTCTACTTAACAATTGTTGTTCTGCTTTGACGGAATAAGATCTCATGATCACACCATAAATGGTCTTCAGATTATGGCTGAGTATATCCGAAAGTAGACTAAGGTGACTGAACCATCTGGTAAGGCCTTGATCTTAACTGAAAAGGGTCAGTTGGGGATCATTCCATATCAAATCAACCAGTTTAAAAACAATTTCGAACCTACAGGACTTGGTCATTTTGGTTGAATTTGGTCATTTTTTGCATGCATTAATATAAGGAAAAATACAAAATTTTAGAATTGTCGGACTTAAGTTTTTGAGTTATAAATTTTTTTATATTGTTATTCTAACATATGGTGGCTAAACGACAAATTTCAAAGTGAAGAAACAAGACAAAAATATGACATAAAATAGGTGTACTAAAAATGCTGTCAAGGTCTGCCAATATTAGAAAAACATATTTTAATTAAATTTATGTATATATATTTGTATTTAAATGTTATTTACGTGCAATAGTCCAGTCAATGAATGCTCGAAAAGATGTTATAGAAGGAAATGACAGAGACACAATTTTCGACTTAAGGGCATTGATTGACTAGTAAGGAAATAAACTTACTATTAGTCCTCACTCCTAGGTGGTAAGCATGATGAGGGGAGATGGGGGAGGGGACCTAGAAGATCACTTTTTCTGAGTTTTCGCTTGTATCAGAAAAACTATCCGATGCAACGATAAAGACGTTCTTAACAAAATTAAAGCTTATAAAATTTGCAATATGATTGATTGTATACCTTGTTTTGTTACCTCAAACAAAGTACAAAATCATACAAAATTAAAGCTTATAAAATTTGCAATATGATTGATTATATACCTTGTTTTGTTACTTCACTTAGTTTCCGAGATATCTGTCCTCAACTAATTTTAAAGAAAAAATCCTGAGTTTTTATAGTGATGAATATAATCGAAATTAAAAAGTATGTTGTTTAAAGTTTAGCTGCATTAAAAATGCACTTTGTAAACTTCTTTTAATAGCCCAATTATGCTAGATAAGAGTTGCTTTTCGAAATAGAGCAGTAAGTGAAAATTTTGTGATATGCGCACCAGATTTTTTAATCTAAAGACTATTATTATATAAACTGTTATTGCGGCCTCCACTGGACTTATCTTACTAGTAGGCCCGTGCGAAAAATTCGTACAGCATATTGTTAAATGATGAAATGCCAAATTAATAAGAAAAGAAAATAATGCAACGTATCATAAGATAAAGAAATCAATTGTTACTTTCTCGATAAATATAATTGACAAAGGAAACAAAAATTAATGATTGGAACCTACATGTTTACAAGTTTCAATAATCTATATCTTTGCCTAAAATTGTCCGATTTCGATGATTTTTCCTTTTGTAGGGAATTTATTAATATTTTATATAATCGTGGACATAACCTAGAGGAAAGAGTGTAATTTTTGAGTTAATCGCAAATAAAGTTTCATTTCTTTGAATTTTTGGGGTGATTGGACTATTTTGCATCCCTGAGGAGTAGGAAACCTTCAAAATTGGTGGCTCAATCTTGGAATTTGGTGAAGAATTAATGATGATGTGGCTTACAGACAAAAAATACCTTCGATAAATTTATATTATTTATATTATTAAATTATATTTCTTTACATATTATTCTTTATTTTATTAGAAACTATCTGGAAGACTACTGTGAGCGTTTGCCTTGAAGTACAAAATATGTCCTTGACAGAAACTGAACAAACCTTGCGGGAACTTCAATGGAGGCAAGTCTTCCCCACTCCTCTTGCCCAGGTACTGTCTTTCTTGAGCAATTTTTACGATTTTGCTGATATTTTAAGAATACCATTTTCAACTGATTTGTTTTTGGTTATTTTCTGCAGGTGCTGCACGATTTAGCTGCACGTTCTGCTGTTGCGTAGCAATCACTGGAATCTTTCTCGGCAGTATGGGGCCAGTGACTTCCTACAGATATGATTGACATTGTTATTTTATATTTTACAGGCAGTTCATTAATCTATATCTACAATTTTATTCTAATTAAACATTCATTGATAAAGATGAAATCTGAGATAGTCGTCAAAACTTGCCAATTTTGCACTCATCTAAGGTCGCTAGAAGTTCCTATTATTTCTACTACTTCTCATTAGTTGTTCGATAAGGAAAGGAAGATTAGTGTGCATTAATTTTTGGTTTCATCGTGATTGAACTGTCTGATATTTGCATTTTTTATAATAGCAAACTCATACATCACATATTAATGTGTCCATAATTATTATTGTAAAACAGAGGTTGTTCTTTTATCTGTATTGTTTTAGCTATGGTCAAAGATCTTTCTGCTATTCACTGAAATTTGTTAGATATATTCGTATTTTTTTAATGTGTTGATAACCATTTATGAGGTGTGTTTTTAAGATAATAACCAAATATTGTTCTGTTAAGATTGTTATTTAAATTAAGTATTTTATGATCTTTTTTTTTTTAAATACATCACTTTTAAGATTAAGTAAAATATAAAGAGGTAAATTACATGTCACTGATTGGTTATATTTGTTAAATGATCGATTTTAAAAATTTTTAGATATGAATTTGTCTAATTTTGATTTAAAGAGGAAAATCCTATAATTAGTTGGTTTATGTTTATTTTTATAAACATATTGCGTTAGTACTATGTTAGATTAGATTAGAATTGGAAAGTTTTATATTGTTAACTAAATTAAAAAAATCATGCATGTATTTTATTTAATATTTCATCATGGTTTATGTATTTTATCAAAGTAAGATAACAAATTTTCAACTATAGTTGGTCAAAAACCTCAGTGACTACTTTACTTACATTGTGTAAGGCTAAGAAGTATTAAATATCACATTAATTACCATTGACAAAAGTATTATAGTGTATATATAAGGGTAAATGATGTGGTGGTGGGGTATAGAGGTTGAGACTGCTAGACTTTCTTTTTTATTTTATTTTATTTTTCTTTTAATAATGAAGCATAAGAACTATTTTCAGTGAACTTTTGTTATTCCAGATCTGAATATTTAAATACTCTGGTTTGGTTGGGATGGAATTTGTTGAGGGAAAGAGTATAGGTCAATTTTAATGGTTCGACATTATGATTAGGGAATATTACCTGGGGATGTTCACATCATCTTTGCGATAATGAACACCAAAGAAAATACTAACAGTTTTAGAAACAAATTTAACAGTTAGTTTTATTGAATGATGTAATCAATTTTGTCAAAGTCTGTTTTGTTTTTGTGATGAATTCAATCCTCCATCAGTTAATGACGTTAATTTAATGTGTTTTAGTTTATATTTTAAGTGTTTGCAAACTCTGTGAGTGTTTGAATTATAAATTACAACTCAAGCACAAATTAGAGCTCTGAAAATATAAATTGAAACACAGCGAAATTAGTATTGCAGATAATTATTATTGGCTTTAGATCTTCCTATATTATTTACATATAAAATTTCTGTTTGTCTTTTGTGTCCAATTTTCTTGTGATATCTAAGTTCTTAGTGTTTATTCGGAAAAGTGAGTATATACTTAGGTTCAGTTAAGTATATAGGGGTTCAGTTAAGTCTGCACAACACCCTTCAGTTACGCCATTGGTCCTGTGGATAGATTGTCTTTAAAACATCCTTTAGCATATTTTAGCAATATCCTATTCACCCTATTGCTCCTTACGAAGTGATCTTTTCATCTTGTTTGTAAGATTTCATTTATCAGATCTAGTTTTCACGGGCTTAGGATTAATTTATTATAAAAACTGGAATTATGGTGAAATACATATATAAAATTAAAGTGTTGATATTTTTTGAGTTGGTGATTCCAGTGATTGGAATCTGTTTGAAAACTAACTAGTAAGCCTCCCATTGTGTTTCTCAATTTGCATTCAATTTCATAGCTTTTTGTTACTTATGTGCAAATTAAAGACTATAAACTTCTGAAACTTTGTCATGACTGTGAGCCCTTTTACTACCATCCAGCTAGAAGTAGAATATTTCTTGTGCTACCATTTTTTATTGATATTCACTTCTTCTTTCTTTTTTTAAATTCCCTTCAAGATTTTTTGTTTAATTTGTAGAATCATATTTAGTGTCATAATTTAGATTTAATAGTATCCTTAAAAATCTTGGCATCTGATTTGTTGCTTGTTGATTACTCCAAGACTTCGCTAAAAATATTGGAGTATGCGAAAAGTAATTAATTGCTCAGTTCTAAGCTCCTGTAAACTAGGTCTAATTAGAAAATTACTATCAAATCAAGGTCGTATTTTATTTTAATTGCCCAACCTTTATTATCTTTTGTATTAGAATTTATTTATGATACACAGGATCTTTTTGGTTTAATTCATATTGAATTGATTAATTTATTTTAAAATTAATTAATTGTTGAAATTACTGTATCTCATTCAGAAATACTTTTTGGATTATAATTTTTCATTCATGCTTTTGATTATAAATGTATATTAACTTTTATGGATGAATGATTGGTTCTTGGATATCATTTTTTATTGGAGCCTAGGATTCGGTCTTTTATTAACTTATAGAGTTTAGTTTTAAAGTTATTTCTTGAACCATTTAACAATTGGACACAAAATAGGAGGATTGTATTTTACTAATTGTATTTCTATTTACTGCAATTAGTGTTGCCCAAAATCGGTCTTGGTCTTGCACTTTGCAAGACCAAGACCAAGGCTACCTAACGGTTGCAAGACCAAGACCAGGACTGGTAAAAAAAATCTATTTTTAAAATAGAAATTAAGGCAAAATAGTTATATATACTTGACAATTTTAGTTACTATATGTTAATAATTGGTATAACCAATATAATTTTGCGTTTAACTCCTCTAATTTTTCAGTCGGGCTTAGTTAGGTCTCCTATCCAAAAAATTACAGTGATATATCTATAGTAATAAGCTAATAAGTAACTGCAAGACTGTTCCGAGAGTCTTGCGCAAGACCAAGACCATGACCAAGACAGAGTTCGCAAGATCAATACTCGTCTCGGTCTCGCATTTGGGCAACACTAACTGCAATGTTATAATTAATCTCAGCATTATATTGAGCCATTATTATTAGTTTTATTTTCTACTTTTTAAAAATCTGTTTGGTTCATTATTATACCACAAAATGTTCCTAATATTATAATAATAGCTGCTTTCGCCATAATTAAGGATTTTATTTTATTTTTCAATATTTTAACACTTATTATTAATATCTTAATATGATCTCTCTTTTAAACCACCGTCTGTCAAGATGTAATATTTTGCCATTACAGACTATCATTTTCATTGTATGTATACCTAATTTAGAACATCAAGTGATATGAGCCAGTTGTAATTTATTGTACTACAAGACACTTTGTTAAATTATAAGGACTATTATTAGTATGATTCATAGATGAAGAAATCGATAATGATATTATACTTAGCATTTTTGCTACTTATCTGATTGCTTTTGTTTTTTGTTTAGTTTTTGTCTTTGTAGGTGTCCCACTGAATGTTTACTAATTGTTTGATTTAAATTTTATTACCATTAAATAGTGAAATTTTGCAATATCCAATGATATATTGTGCCTTCTATTTTTGAATTTTAAGTATTTTTATTAGATATTAAATTATATATTATTGCGTGTTATTGTTTAAACATTTCAATTATTAACTTTCATAAATTATATGTTTGTTGAAGCCTCAGCAGTCTGAATAAGATGGCGCTGTTAAGATTTTGAAATTTATAAATTGTAATTATTATGATATAAGTAGAGTTATAAGTCATATATTAATCTCATGCCATAAGTCTTTTATGTTTTTATATGTTTGTTTATTTTGCCATTAATTTTATTGCGTTGCAGTATTCTGTTGGATTGTTCTTAATATGTTATGGTGTGGGTAGTTGGTGCTAATTTTTTTTTTTTTTTTGATTGATGTCGATATCTGTTGTGACTGAATTGGCACAAAAAAAGGAGAAGTTCCAGTATTTATAGAATGTTGGTTAGAAATGTTTGAAATATATTGTGATGATCTATTTTCATTGTTTATAATTGCACAATATTGTGTTAAATTTAATTACTGATATATTATATACATTTATGTTAAATTAGATTTAGATTCAATTTTATTACTCTGAATTTTATTGCATTTTGCCTTCACAAGATTCCATGATAATATAAGATTGTAATAGTAGTTTTAAATGCCACAAACAATACACTGATGTTTTAATATGTTTGGCACATTAATAAATTTTTATTGAATGTATTATTATATTTTAATATTCCTTCAAGATTAATTTAAACTATTTTGAAATTTTATCTGAAGTGCTGCTTTATACCTGTTCATTCTAGATTCATTCTAACCCTATACTCTCTACCATCTTATTTTCTTTGTTACTCAGTTTTCTTTAAGCTCCTATCCAGCCTTACTTAATATATAATTGTAAGAACAGGCTATAAAAAACAAATAGTTTAAAAAATCTTTTTGTAAATTTCGACCTTATTTATCTACAAAAAAAATTTTAAGTGAATGAAAATCGTACAAACTCTATTATTTATCATTTATAGTTACACTAAATGCACATTTTTCTGTTTTCACAAAGAAAAAATTCATCCAAGTTCTTAAGATTATGACTTTTTCCAATAAATCGACAATATACATATACACTGACAGGCAAAAAATTCCACCCACTTGATTTTTCCATGTTTTCATCTAAAAATATTTCTGTAAAGTTGTATTTGTATATAATACATGGTATTTGTTGATAATACTTAGTATTTATGGAATTTTCTAATCTTTTTACCTTTAATAATCAGAATGTGATTGGGTAAGAAAGATTAGAGAAAAAAATATTGAAAAACGAACAATTATTATTCTAAAAGAAATTAATTACATCATTGTTTAGCAGCGCGTGTTTCCTCTTGCCTTCACTACTTCTTGAAGACGCCTTGGCATACTTTCCCCCAGTCGGGAAATGTCCCTTTGCTGGAGGATAGCCCATTCCTCCTGAAGAGCCCTTTCAAGGTCCTGCAGTGTATCAGGAAGTGTTGCTCGCGCTCTTATTCGTCTTCCGAGGTTATCCCATAAATGCTCAATAGGGTTCAAATCTGGAGAACGTGCTGGCCAGGCTAAAACCTCAATATTGTTCTGTTAAAGGAACGTCTGCACTATGAGGGCGACATGTGGGCATGCATTAGAATGGAACTATCGCCGATTTCGTTGAGGATAGGCAACACATGAGGTTCCAAAATCTTATCTACCTAGCGAATGGCCGTCAAAGAGCCTCCACGAACAACAACCAATTCTGTGCGTTGCTCCATTGAAATCCCAGCCTACACCATTAAGGAACCACGTTGGAAAGGTTGGCTCTGGGAAAAATTACAGGCTGCATATCTTTCATTTCTTCTTCTCCACACCATTTCACGCCCGTCTGGAGATCGAAGAGTGAATCTTGATTCATCAGTAAAAAGTACAGCACTCCATTCGTCCATAGTCCAATGGCTGTGTTCTCGAGCAAAAGTTCTGTGAGTTTTGGTCAACTCTGGTTCTCTTGCTGGACAAAAAGCCATTAATCCATACTCATTTAATCTTCTCGGTACGTTCAGAAATTTGCAC